AGCAGACCAGGGAGATGGGGAGCAAAGCCTCGGAGCACGCCCGCAGTAGGACAGCCACGGCGCACCTGGGCTGTCCCGCTGTGGGCGTGCTCCAAGGCTTTGCTCCGCGTCTCCCAGGTCAGCAGACCAGGGAGACGGAGCAAAGCCGTGGAGGAGTTGGGCGCAGATTCAGCCGCGGTTGAAACTGATCAGTTTCAGCAGCGGCTGACGCCAGTTCTGACTTACATACAGATTCAACTTAAGAACAAACCTACAGTCCCTATCTTGTACGTAACCCGGGGACTGCCTGTAATATACAGGGTCCCCTCTTGAGCCCCTTTTAAAAATTGGTGTCACATTAGCTATCCTCCATTTATTTGATTCAAAAGATGATTTACAAACCACAGTTAATTGTTCCATAATTTCACATTGGAGTTCTTTCAGAACCCTTGGGTGAATGCCGTCTGGTCCTACTACTGTTCAATTTATCAATTTGTTCCAAAAACTCTTCTAATGACACTTCAATCTGGGACAGTTCCTCAGATTTATCACCTGAAAAGAATAGCTCAGGTTTGTGAGTCTCCCTCACATCATCAGTCATGAAAACCAATGCAAAGAATTCATTTAGTTTCTCTGCAATGGCCTTATCATCCTTGGGCACTCCTTTAGCATTTCGATCGTCCAGTTGCTTATCAGGCTTCCCGCTTTTGATTTACCTTAAAAAATTGCTATTACTTTTTGAGGTTTTGACTAGCTGTTGTTCACATTTCTTTCTGGCCAACTAATTAATTTAATTTTTAAATTTGTGGTATCCCTTTAAGTTGAGGCTCTATTATGGTGTCTTTGAAAACTGTCCATGTATCTTCACTTTTGGCACTGTACCTTTTAATTTCTGTTTAACTAACCTCCTCATTTTTGTGTAATGCCCCTTTCTGAAATTAAATGCCATAGAATTGGTCTGCTGTGATGTTTTCCCCACCATAGAGATGTTAAATTTCATTATATTATGGTCACTATTTCCAAGCAATCTAGCTATATTGACCTCTTGGACCAGATCCTGTGCTTCACTTAGGACTAAATCAAGAATTGCCTATCTCTTGTGGGTTCCAGAACCAGCTGCTCCAAGAAGCAGTCGTTTAAGGTGTCAAGAAACTTTATATCTGGACCGCTTCCTGAGATGATGTGTACCCAGTCAATATGGGGATAGCTGAAATCTAGTGACGTCAATAGCTATACACCAGAATTTACAACTGTACAAGAAAGCAGGGCGGGGTGGGGGTGGAGAATCCTGTTATCTCTGGCCTTATTTTCATTTTTGCTAAGCCCTTTGCTAATTCCATAGTTGGCTGCAGAAATATTTATTTATTCCTAAATAATTAAAAATATTTTCTTAACTGGTGAATTTGTACAGAAGATTTGTTTTTACTACTAAATATTTAATCAAAATCATTTTGGATATGAAGTTCTTGTTAGTTGGCCAATTTCTTCGCCTTTTTTTTAAAATTGTGTTTTAGTACAGATACAGAACTTTGCTACAGCCTGCCAAGTTTAAGGGGAGTAAATGCATTGGCCATCTTTGGGACGAAGCAGCATGCCAACCTACAGAAACATGTACAGCCAGTCAACAGTGTGGCAATGATTTTCAGTGTCAGGAGACAGGTGAGTGAAATGCTGTTGGGAAAAACAGCAAATGAAGTTTGGTCCTGAATGAGGATACAATAATGAGAGCACTGGACCAGTTCTTTAGCAGGTGAAAATTCTCTACCTAGAATACACTCTCAAAATGCACCACATTTTCTCCTCATGGTAAGGGAAGAGGATATGTTGTATGAGTCCCTCTATGAGAAGCATCATGGGAGATGTAATCTGTCCGCATTTCAGACATTGGCTTAATCATAACTTCCCTCATTTCAGATGTTTGGATTTTCGGTGAAAAATTAAAATGGTTGGAAAATTGATAAAATGATCATGAAAGCTGTTTTGTCAACAACAAAAAACTGTTAAAAAACAGTTTCGACAGAAAGTTATGCTACCAGCACTAGCTACAGTAGAATCAAGAGAACAGGTGGCTGTCCCCGCAAGAGTAGGTTACATCAGTATAGTTTTTACTTAGAACACAATAGTGCATAGTTCTGCTTTCTAATCTAGATGGTATTATATACATTATGAAACGTGGGCACCACACAGAAGGCCAGATCTTCAGCTGGTGTGAGTAAGCCAAATCAGTGGTGCCACACCAATTTACCACAGCTGCAGATATGGCCTTTCATTTTCAATGGCACAAGTGTTCTCAAGTTGTGCCTCCTCTGGACGTCCATTTGCCTGAGGAAGGAGAGGCTGGACTTGCGTCAGGAGCACTAAATCCACAGCTGCCTCATTAGACTGAACACAAATTGTAGAGATGATTAAGATGTGCCGATACACTTTAGGTCGCTGCATTAAACGCCACCTGCTATGTAATGGAGAGCCAGACTGTAGAGATGGGTCTGATGAAGATAACTGTGAGGATGAAGATATTGAAAGCCTCTGTAAAAATCTACAGCCAATTCCTGGATCAGAGAAAGCAGTCCAAGGGTGAGTCATTAATCTATATTTGCTGTTCTTTCAGTCAGGCCAGGATTACATTTTTATGTTGCTCTTATTCAGTGGGAGCTTCTTTTGTCTATGAGTTGACCTCTCGCAGTATGCATGGTACTACACAAAAAAGAGGAAGCCAGTATTGTCCCAATGACTGTACAGTCTGAATGGTGCAGCCGCAAGCAACAAGGGAGCCAGCATGCCGTAGCAGACAGGGCACTGGACTTTGAGTCAACAGACCAGGCCTCTGATCCAGGGTCTGCATCTGATTCCCTCTGTGACCTTGAATGAGTCACTGACCCGCTCTGGGCACATCTGCACTGCAATTAAACTTGTGGCTCAGGCTACAAGGCTGTTTAATTGCAGGGTTGAGATTTGTGCTGGGGCATGCGCTGGATCCTGGACTCTGCTTCCTGTCAGGGTCTCAGAGCCCAGCTGGATGCACTGCCATTAAACAGGCCTATAGCCTGAGTTAACTGACCCAGACCACCCAGGCCTGCTGACAGGATGTGCAAAGTAGCAATTGCCCAGAGACCTGGCCATTCAAAGGAATCTGGAATCCCAGGGCCCTTTAAACTGCTGCAGGAGTGCCAATGTGCCACTCTGAGCAGCTTTGACAGCTGGGGAGGGGAGCCCAACAAGATGGTCCCACTAGGTTGATTGCCCTCAGCCCTTCTTAGGGCACAAAGCTGCTCCCCACCTTGCCACAGCGTCTGCAGTGGCTATTGGCCCCGCGGGGCCAGCTGCTGACATTCAGGGTGTATCTAGACTACATCCCTTTTTCAGTGAAGGGATGTAAATTAGGCACATTGATATTGCAAATGAAGCCAGGATATGAATATCCCGCACTTCATTTGCATGATGGCAGCCGCTGCTTTTTTTCAAAATGGGGCTTTGTCAAAGAAAAAAAAAACCCAACCCTCCCCCCCCCCGGCAGTTTAGATGGGGATCTTTCGAAAATAAAACCCTTTTTCAAAAGATCCTGTACTCTTCAACTGCCAACATCGAAACTGACGGGTTTTTTTCCAAAAAGCCCCGTTTCGAAAAAAAGTGTTGGCCGCCATCATGCAAATGAAGTGCGGGAAATTCAAATCCCGGCTTCATTTGCAATATTGACGTGCCTAATTTACATCCCTTTACCGAAAAAGGGATGTAGTCTAGACACACTCTCAGTTGCAGTGTACATGTGCCCTCCACATTTCTATTTTCCCCTCAGGGGTAATAATAATTCCCCTCCTTTGTAATGCTCTGTTAAGCTATCTATCTTTCTCTGTTTAGCTAAAGTAATAAAGGATGTGAAATAGAACATTTTTAATAAAAAGCCTGATTGCTTCATCCTCTTAGAAGAATACAGAACATTGTTTCAGAGTATTTAGGGCCCGTCCACATGGCACCTACTTACAGGTGGCACCTTAGACAGGTATCACAGGCAAACTTGCCATGATGGCATCCTTTTTTTCAAAAATATCATAAGCTTAGCCTATGTGAAAGAGAACAAGATATACAGTATGACAATCATTTAAGCTTGATCCATTTGCTCAATCCAAAGTTGCAGAAGTTGGCAGAAAGATTTCCAGTGAGTTAATTTTTTTTTGAAGAAGCCCCAAGAATCTATCTAAAGTTTATCACATATTTGTTTTGTTTTAATTGTCATAGACTTCTGTAATGTATATTTCCCTCTGGAAAACACACAGAAGTAAGAGTGTTTGAAAATCTCCTTTAAGAACAAAATCTTAGTATGGGGGATTATTCTGATGGCCACTTAAAATGCTACTTACATTTCAGGCCACCAAGTTAGCAAAAAAAAAAAGGGAGGGGGAAGATATTGAGAGATGAACATCTAAAATACTCAGGGAGTGGGAGGAAATGACTTATACAGAAAGACTAAGTGAACCTACTATGAATAGTTTGACTAAGTGAGAGCAGTCCATAAATATACGGAGAGTATTAACACCCAAGGTGAAACAGATAAATGGGAGAACAAGTAAGAGAAAAGTGGTGAAATTCAGGAACAGAACATTTATTTTGAATATTAGGAAAAACTTTGTGACAGTGAGATGGATTAGGAGGCTATAAAATGGTTTCTTCAGCAATTTGAAAGAAGCTCCATAACTTGGGGCATTTTTATAACTTGACTTGACCAAACACTAGAAAATGAACTATAGAGAATCATCTTGTATTGGAAAACAAATGGTCTGGATACTTTAATTAGGGTCTTCCATCTCTAACTTATGATTCTACAATACTGTCTTTGAAATAACGTGTCTCATTTTTAGTCAGCGAGAAAAATCAATTTAGTTCCCACGGGACAGAACAAAGATGGAGAGGTGTGGATTCAAACCCTCCCATCTATGAAATCGAAGATCCTCAGTCATTTCAGTCCAAAGCAATACACAGTCTAGTGTCTGAGAACAAACTGTATGTAAAGCCAAAGACAGGGAGAAAAGAAAAGGTATCCGTTTTTTGTAATAGCAAAAAAAGCAATCGTTAATTTCTGGATGATGTCTCTTTTCATTAAAGATACAATGTTCTGACACAAGAAGAAAAGCAATTTATATATGATCCTAAGTATTATGGAGGCCAGTGTGAGTATGTTTACAATGGAGAATGGCGGGAACTGAAGTATGACGCTGCATGTGAACATTTGTACTATGGGGACGATGAGAAATATTTTAGAAAACCCTACAATTTTCATGTATATCAATTTCTAGTAAGTATTTAAGATGTTAATTTAGCAACATTTTCTCACTAGGGACTGATGTTTGCCTTGGAGATGTTATGAAGATTTCCCAAGGATATATATTACAGTTATTTGCAGCAGTATAAAGATTATTGAAGACCTACTTTCATGGATGAGCAGCCTCATATGTTTTGTGGCTGTTATGGGAGTGTGCCATTTGATATAAGAAATTGCTAGGACAATTACATATATTCTGGGTCTGGTACTCCACTCAAAAAGATCTTCTACAATTCTTTCCATAAACCCCACCTTGTCCAACAGTCCCCAAAACAAGTCTTCTAGTTCGCAATAAGGGCTATGTCTAGACTGCAGGCTTCTTTCGAAAGAAGCTCTTTCGAAAGTATCTTTCGAAAGAGCCTCTTTCGAAAGAGAGGGTCTAGACTGCATGCGGAACTTTCGAAAAAGTGGCTTGCTTTTTCGAAAGAAAGCACCCAGTGAGTCTGGATGCTTTCTTTCGAAGAAGCCCTATTTACATTCAAGAACGCCTTCTTTCGAAAGAGGAACTTTCGAAAGAAGGCGTTCTTCCTCATGCAATGAGGTTTACCGCCGTTGAAAGAAAAGCCGCGTTCTTTCGATTTAATTTCGAAAGAACGCGGCTGCAGTCTAGACGCAGGTGAAGTTTTTTCGAAAAAAGGCTACTTTTTTCGAAAAAACCCCTGAGTCTGGACACAGCCAAGGATGTGTCCAGAACAGTTATTTTTAAAGCACACACCTGCACACATGAAGGAACCAATGTGATCCTTGCAGTATTGCCCAAGCAATCTGGTTAAGTGGGCAAGGCACCAAACAGAGGTTTTGCTCCCTGCTCAGCTATTGACAAGCTGTGTGACCTTAGATATGTCGTGTCACCTCTCTGTGCAGGGTGGGGGGGGGGTGGTAAATGGGGATGATGATACTTGCTCACTTTTGAAGTGTTTTGAGAGCAGTCATCTGCATGACAACAATGGCCATAGAATTGTTAAAGCATATTCATCCCCCTGCTTTGTCTGCATAATGCTAGAGGTTTAACGCTCCACCAATCCTGCTGGGAGTTTCCTATCCTGCAAGTAAAGTCAGCACTGCAATGGCTAGCAGCTACTGTGCTTTGACCACTGCTTATCGTAATCTCTCTGTTAACTTGTGCACCTTCTGTCAGATTGTTGAACCCACTTGTGACCTATCGTCTTTTTCTTATACTTCTGGGGACAGGGAATGTTGCAGTTTTTAGATTGTGTGATCACATCATGTATTTTCCACAGGATGGAAAATTCAATGCACAGGTTGGACAGTGCTCACATAAACACCTATTCAGTATTTTGCATTTGCTCCTTGTTCAGTCTGTACCCACATCCTGGAGGGGCTTATTCACTGCATACCACTCTGAAAAAATTATTACAGGTTGAACCTTTCTAATCCAGAACTCTCTGGTCCAGAAGCATCCGTCATCCAGAATGATTTTAGCTAGCGAGATGGTCACTTTTCATGGGTGTGGCCAAGTTTCCTATGATCCCATAAAGTTTGTTTACAGACACCAGTTCTGGCTCTCAGTGTTCTGTGCTGCTGTTAGCTCTAATGTACCTCTAAATGTCCTCTAACAGCCCAGTAAGCAGTGGAAGTGTTGGTAATGCTGCTAGACAATATTGACCTCCTGTGATCCAGAAAATTATCTGGTTCGGCACCAGTCAGGTCCCAAGGGTGCCGAACTAGAGAGGCTCAACCTGCATTAATTTCCTCATGAACTTTTCTGTAAAACTCATCTCTACAGTATGAGTGCTTCAAAGACATCCATTAATTGGTCTTCACAACGTCCCTGTGCTGGGGTTGAGGTTCTCAGATCAAGATGTACAGATTTTGGGTACCCAATTTGAGAAGATGAGGACCCCATTTTTGAGTGTCCTGAGCATGGCAGAGAAGTTCATGTGTTCAAAGCACAGAGTCCATGGACTTCAGTTGCAGCTGTGAGTTCTCAACACTACTCACCCTTCCCTCTGGTTCCTAACACCAGTCTCCTTGTTCTGCCAATCCCAGTCTTCCCCCTCCGCCAAGTTCGACATCCAATTTCAATGCCCCCCACCCTCTTCCTGTTTCCCTCACTAGCTCCCAGTCTAGGGTGACCATATTTCCCAAAGGGAAAACAGGACACCCCCAACCATAGCCTGAACCCCCTCACCTTTTACAATGCTCTTGCCCTGTTGCTGGAATGCTGCCTCTCTTAGCAACCTTACCTCCCCTCTCTGAGGGGCATATGGGACATATCGTCACCCTACCCAAGTCCCAGTATCTTTGCCTAGCTAGTCTTCCCCATTCACCCCTCCGGCTATCAAGTCCCAGCTTCCCTTTCTGCTGCCAGTTGCCATTTCCTTGCCCAACCAGTCCCAGTTTCTCTCCCTTCAGGATGTCTTTTCCCAATCTGCTCATTTCCCTGCTCCTCAGTCCAGCTTTTGACCACCCTGTATTCAGATCTGACAGCTTTCCCCTCCACACTGCCTGGGTGCCAGCACTGAGAGTCTAAGAGAGGTTCCCTCTCTGAATTCCAGTGCCCAGCCTAGAGCAGAACTTAATAGCAAAATTTCATCTGAGCCCCTGTAGCCCCAGGATGAACCCTGTTCACCACGCTGAGAGAATGGTGCACACTCACCAAGGTCAGCAAGGGGAGCTGTTGTGGGCTTGAGCATACTCACTGAGTACGGAATCTTCAGAGATTTTAGTTGCTAAAAATATAAACAATCTAAACAAACGTGTGAACAGTAATTTTTCAAAGATTGATAGCTAAGTCAAATGTAGCCCAATTTGGCAAAAAGTACATCCCTAATACAAAACCCACCACCATGCCAAATTTCGAGCCACTGCTCTCCAGTATAGGGGCACTAAAGTTGTACAAATAATATTTTTATTGTGGGCAAAAAAAATTAAAAATGTATTTTCCCCTAACCTTATTCCCAGAAACAGCTGGATCATTTTGATTATTTTTTTTCCAGAAAATATCCAGCTTGAGTTAGGCACCACCTTGGAAAATTTCAGCCAAAACTTAAAGTTTGGCAAAAAGTTACAAGCAACTGAAAACAGGATTGGCCGCATTACCTTACCACTGACTTCAGTTGGGGTAGGATTAGATACTTACCAAGAGACAGCAATGGGAGTAAAGAAGGAAGGTAATTTCTTCAAAAGTAATGCCTCTTTGTTTCATTTCAGGCTCATGCTGATTCTGGATTCTCCTCTGAGTTTTACGAAGATGTGAAGGATTTAATTGATGCCATAAAAAGAGATAATTCCAGACAGTATGGCTTTACCTTTGGAATAGGCTTTGCTGATTTTCCTATTCACCTTCAGCTGGGTTTCAGTTTATCATATGGGAAAGGATCCCTGAAGAATTTCACAGAATATGATGAGAAGGTAACAAAACAATGGTGCATGTGTTCTCTGAGTCATGCTTTGTTGCATTGCACAATTTCAGCATAACTTGTTAGTCTATTCTCTTATTTGCATGTTTTTAAACAATAGAAAGTGTACCTTGATTTGTTCATGTAATTGCAAATGTGTGATCATTAGTAATCTTGTTTGTTGTTCTTATTACATTTAAGCAAACAGAATCATTATAATGGGAATAAAATTGAATTTCACAGTATAGGGACACATGTCTTCTTGTCCCTTCCTCTTTCTTGGGTATATTAAGTATATAAATGAACCCTTAAAGTGGTAAAGAGGGAGGGGAAAATATCAAGATGTTCATCAACACAGCTGTCCTCAGAGGATGAGTTCCAGCGGAAAATAATCTTGTTCCATTTAATACAAACTACAGTATGACGACAAACTAAGCTTCTGTAGTATCAGAGATTCAAAGTATCTTAGTAAACAAATAGTACTAAACGGAAGGCTTTTAGCCAAAAATTTACACCATGGCTAAATATGTGGTGGCTCCCATTTAGTTTTAATAATATTCATGGTAACATTTTATATTTATACTGTGCCTGTTGCTTACTTTTCTCTTGGTATGTGACAAGGAACGATAACAGAATTATTTTGATGGTGTCCTAGCTGAAGTGATTTCACAATTGCTGTAAGATGGCACCACTAAAGTAACTAGATCCTCCTCATCTAGAGTCATACATTGTATAAAAAAAAAAAAAAAAAAAAAGTCCTGATGTGGTATCCTCAGAAAATGACTTGTTAGAAGGGCTGTCACAAGTTTCACCCACTGCACATCCTATTGGTTGTCCCAGAGAGAAGGTCCACCAGTCTGCACTCTCATTCCTGTGGGTGTCTTCCACTATCTTGTCTCCTTCTGCTGCACTGCTCACTCCGGGTATGTCTACCCTTGCAACCTACTTCGGAATAGGACTGCAAATGTAGGCATTCGGAATTGCAAATCAAGCCCGGGATTTAAATATCCCGCGCTTGATTGGCATCTTCCCGGCCGGGCGCCATTTTTGAAATTTACAAGCCCGGAATAACTGCCCGTGTCTACACGCAGCAGTGAAACGGGCATTCGAAATAAAGCCCTATTTCGAACTACCTGTTATTCCTCCTGCAATGAGGTTTAAGAGGTAGTTCGAAATAGGGCTTTATTTCGAACGCCCGTTTCATTACCGCGTGTAGACGTGGGCAGTTATTCCGGGCTTGTACACTTAAAAAATGGCACCCAGCTGGGAAGATGCAAATCAAGCACGGGATATTTAAATCCCGAGCTTGATCTGCAATTCTGAATGCCTACGTTTGCAGCCCTATTCTGAAATATGCTGCAAGTGTAGACATACCCTCCCAGATCCATAACTTCCTTTTTGTGGCTTGGCCCTCCAACCAGGACCAGGCCTGCTGCCCGGGGGTGGGGGCAATCGGTGCAACAGTCCTGCCTCCCAGTGATTCAAAAGGGCCCAGGGCTGGATCCTTGGGCAGTGCAGAGGGCTGGCGGGGAGAGGGAGGTGCAGCCCAGCTCAGGCAGTGCTGAGGGTTGGCTGTCCTCATCCCCACCCCTTCTGCTGAGGCCCCGCCCCTTCTGGGAGGACAGATCTGGCTGGCCCAGTCCTGCCTGGTCCCACCCTGCCCTCCTTGCTCATACCCCAGCAAGTATGTCAGCCCCCTTGGCTAGGTCACTGAAGTCCCTCCCTTCCAGGGAATTCAAAAGCATTCCATACTCTGCTGTCAGGGTGACATCTCCAACACCTTGTGCCACTACCCAGTGGTGGGTAGGGGAACCCAGGTCTGCCTTCTACACTGGGTTCCAGCTAGGGACCCTATAACATGCAGCCAAAGCCTATATCTCCTTAATCCTCACTGCTATTTCCATGGGTTTGCCAGCTTCTTAAGTCCCTTCACTCAGGGAGTGACAACAGCCTGCTTTCCAACCACCAGATACCCTGGGACCCAGAGATTAAAAAGGGCCAGAGTTCCACACCATGTGCTTCATGTGGCTCTGAGGGGCTGCACAGGTTCTCCATCGCTGGGTAAAGGGAAGCTGTCGAGTAAAGTCAGGCCACCTAGTTTATGTTTTTCAAACCAATATACTTTAACAGAGCCTAAGCCCAATAGCAATTTAAAAAAAAATTGGAAAGCGTTTCTATTTCTTAAACATATAAACATTCTCTGGAAGCATTTGCAACTCCATTATTGGAACATTAGGCTAGGACTTAGGAGTCAGCACCACTATTGACTAAAAAGAGGTATAACCTAACATGAAACTCACAGGCCACCTTTAATTGTCTAAGCTGAGAGAAATGCAAAAGTGAACAAACAGCCTAAACAGTGAAACATCAGCTAAGGCATGTCTACAGTATGGCGAAAATTTACCCTCCGGGGGTCAGTCTCCTACTGTTCGAATTAGCAGGTATAGCGTATACCCCCAAATTGAATGCTAAGAGCAGCCCCCGCTGGCGTCCTGTACTCCCATCATCTTCCCACAGTGTAGACACTGCAGCAGCTCGGCTTAAAGTAAGCCGAATCCAGCTACACATTTTGCATAACTGGATGGCATACCCTAAGCCAACCTGCCTGGTCTAGTGTAGACCATGTCTTAGATTTCCAATAGTCGAAGGAATCATTTGTAATACAGGAAAGGAGCAGGGCATCTGATTGAAGGGGGAACTATCACAAAGAACTTATTCCAATGTCACGTACAGAGTAAATGTCGCATCCTGGCACCACTGTACGCACCGCACCGGAGCTTGAAGTGGTTTCCATCTTCCAGGGTTTGCCGTTGGAGTCAATGTCTTAGCAAGGCTACTATATTCATTTTTCCAGGATCACTGCCCAAGTGATCAAAAACCCATGATGCCAGCCTCTCCAAAATGATGCGGCTGCTTTAATACATCATGTAGTAGCTGTATTTTTAGTTTCCTTCTTGTTTTTGGATCCTTTAGGGGACACTTGAGTCATAGTTGAGGATCAGGCTTAGACAATGTTCCTTGAAGGGCTCCGAGAGTGGTGTACAGCCACTGAAGGCTTATACCACTGCTGGGCAATGTGGACTCAGATATTTCTCAAGGAAGAGGCCTGTCTCCCTTTTAACTGCTGTTTTGCTTCATTTGCAGAATATAGGATTCATTAGAGGCATAACAAAGGTACAGACAGCTCGTTTCAAAATGCGACGGGAGAACCTTGTTCTGGATGAAGACATGCTTCAGTCTCTCATGGAGCTCCCAGAAAGCTACCAGTATGGAATGTATGCCAAATTCATTAATGACTACGGAACCCACTTCATGACGTCTGGGACTATGGGAGGCATCTTTGAATATATCCTTGTCGTTAACAAAAATGAAATGAGTAGAAAAGGTTAGCATAACACTACACATTCCGTGTTCATTGTTTTATAATCTAATTCTCCCCTCTGATTGTTTAATATTATACATTGTTAGAATTAATGGCTGGGGTCCTCCTTGTTCATCTGTCCAGGCCTGGAGCAATAATACTGTCACTGCTATAGCGGTATGTACCACCGGGTGACACATATAGCCATTTCCCAATTGGCATTTCCTACTCCTGATCAATCTACCTACATCAAATTCCTCCTCCCTACTGCTTATGGGACTAGCTGCTATACTATGCATATACAGAGCCTCTTACACTGACTTTCCCTAGTTTGCCTTCTCATGGAGCAAGTTAGCAGCTTCTGAGAAGCATTTGGGCCTTTTGGGTTTGGAGTGCAAAGTGTCTAAAATAGCTCACAGTGTCTAAAATTAAGCATCCCAAGTTAGTGCTTTTGCATCAGGATTCTTGGTTTCAGTACATTTCATAGATGAGTTAAGTATAATGAGTCAGATTCTGCAGCAGGTGTCACTTGGCATCGGTCTATTGGCTTAGAAGGAGTTACAGTAGCTAATGTTCTATCCCTAAGTCTTGTTTAAAGCAGTACAGGGCCGGCTTTAGGCCGATTCCCCCAAATCAGGCCCCGCGCCTAAAAGGGCCCCGTGCTCTAACGCCAGAGGGCCCCGTGCCCTAAACCCGGAAGTGTGCCGGGTGCGCTGCGGGAGGGGGAGTCAGCCCCGGAGGAGGAGCGCGGAAGTTTCTGTGCACTATGGGAGGGGGAGTTGGCCCATGGGTTTGGCTGGGGATTTAAAGGGGCTGTGAGTTGTTAGTTGTTTCTTTTTTTTTTGCTCAACCAAAGTTTGGTTCGAATTGGGCCCCGCACTTCCTAAAGCCGGCCCTGAAGCAGTAGATTCCCTTTTGATCACTAGGAAGCCTCTGTGAAGTTAAACTGGAAGTTCTGTAGGTTAGGTTATTTATCCTTTACTCTGTGGTAAGGTGTTAAATAAACCAGTAAATGCTTCTCACGGTTAGGTTGTAGATCCCGTCCAGCTTATTCATTGTACAGGGAATCTAGGCAGCTTTTCCATTTACTGTTAATCTTAAGAGCAGTATGGCTGCTAGATGGGATGCACCAGCCCAATGGTCTGGAACTCATCTCCAATGCATTTAATGGTCCTCTCTCAGGAAGAGGAGAACTCTCTCCAAAGAATGAGGTATTCTGTGACAGTGCATCTGAAAAGATGTGACCTTTCTGGTTTTTTTTTTTTTTAATTTCATGATTAGGACTTCATTTTTTAATGGGCCAAACCAGAACCACAAGTCCAAACATCCTCATTCTTTGGGGGATAGCTTCTAAATTCAGACCCAACAAGAATCCAAATTTTGCAGCTCTAATTATGTACCAGAAGCGGAACTGTCGGTTATCTTTTGCATGACACATGCTCAAACAAACAAGTATATTCTGTGGGGATGAAACCAGAGGAAAGTCTCTAGTAAAGCAGCTTGTGCTACTTTTTTAATCAAAGTTTCTCTTGTCTGTAATTAGTAATTTAGGCAGAAATCTGGATTTCTCCAGTACTCTTTCTTGACTATATCATTCTCCTTTAGCTTACATGCTATGGCCCTGCATTCTTTCCACCAGATAATTTTGCAACCGGTTAGTGTCTTGTGTTATCTGCATCTAAGCTACCCAAAGATGAACCTGTTATTTTCACATCCTTTTTGTTCTCCTTGGCTTAATTATGGAAAGATAGGCCAATCCTGGAGAAAAGTTTGTTTATCTATAAAGAGATTTGATACAGAATGTACTGAGGGATTTCATGTCCATATTCAGAAGCCTAAGTACAGAATGGATTTCATGTCCATATTCAGAAGCCTAAAGTCTTAATAACTGGCTGTCTGAGAACAAAACAACTGCAGCCACATATCCAAAGGAAAGAATGACACTATCACTCATACCTCAACAACCAGTGCAGGCCTCAATCATACTGCTAGTGAGACCCAGTCTAAAAACCAAGCTGTCCTCAGAGGGTCATTATGAGCAACACAGACACAGGTGTATCAGAAATGACTCCCGAAGGACATTCTCTTCACACTGGTGGAAGAAATTATAGCTTTGATTATACTTGCTAGCACTGAGAGCAAGAAAGAAGGCATTACATGGACAAATCAAGATACACATTCAAAACAAACAAATACCGTCGAGTTTAAGTAGTGCATTGTACTTGGCCTTACATCTGCCATTTTACACTAGAAGGCTTGTAATCTTAGGAGTGACAAAGATCTGCTTAGGCCAGCTTTTAACCAGTGAAGATGTGCAGGGCTGCATGGCTATGCCTGTCCATTATGTTTCTGTATTCTGTAACGTATCCTTTGCTGTTTGACTTGCATGCACATCAGTTGCTGGGGAGTTGAAACAAAGATTCTTCTAACCTAAGAATGAGAATGCAGAACAAGTTAGTCCTTTGGTACACTCACACAAAAGTTAGTGAAGATGCAAAGTCATCTACAGGGTGAGAGATACCACAGTCCTTACACATCCAGTGATACCTTAGTCATTGTGGCAGCGTATGCACTCCCTGTCACTGGGGTGCCTATATTCTGGGGTGTGGACACCGCCTCCTCGGCCACAAGGCAGCTGTCTGTCTCTACAGTCTGTAGAACATCCCTTGCCTCAGGGTAACCACAAGTCTATAAGCAGCGAGCAGTGTGGCCCAATGGCCAGAGTTATACACCCCCTTGATCCAGGACAATGTGGCCTACTAGCCAGAGTCAGCAAATAGCCTTCAGTTCAGGATAGTATTGCCTACTGGACAGAGTCAATAAATAGCCCTTAGTCTAGGGCAGTGTCACCTACTAGCCAGAGTCAGTACAGATGCCCTGGTTGTGGGACCCAGGCCTACCCTGCTCCATCAGGTCCCAACCCAGAGGCCTGTGAGCATCAGAACTGTCTGCCACTCCCTCGGCGGGGAATCCAGATGGAACACGCCGAGTATACCTGGGTGGGGGAGGCTGCTCAGGTACCTCCCTAAGTTACTTCCTACGGCTTCGGTCGGACCAGCATCCCATGTGGTAGCTGGGTCTTCTGGTTCTCTGGCAGCAGCTTCTGCCTGGAACTCCACAGGGATTGCGTTGTGGCCATCTCCTGGGTCTCCAGTTCCCACCATCAGAGTTACTGGCTGCAGCAGTTCAGGAACTTCAGGGTCCTTCTCCTTTGAGGTCCTTCTCCTTTGGTGGCCAGCCCAGGCTGAGCTTTTCCCCATGCTGGCCAATGGGGAGAGCTGCTCAATAAACAGCAAGCTAGTGCCTAAACTGAGGGCTGCTGTGAACCTCTGAGGTAAATTAATCCACCTGAAAGCACAGGCCTCACTAAGGTTAAGAAGGAACTTTGTCACAATACCTATACATATTCAATGCCCAGAGTCGAGCACTGGGAGTATTACAAAAGTGTGTGTCCTTATTATTGGAAACACTCTGCATCCTCAGCTCCTTGAAGAGTGAATGACAAAGAGGTAACCAAGGTCTTGGCGAGGAAGACTTTAAGAAGCAGACTGCCAAGTTAAAAGAAAGGATTAATCAACAGCAGCTGGACAGGGGCTATTATTTTACTTTATCTTGTGCTTACTGTATATCTGAGATGAGATTTACTGCTACAAGGTGCCCTATTTTAGAAATGAGGGATGTTAGAGTTCTGCAAGAGACAAAAATGTGCCCCAGAAGAGAGATAATTTTCATTCTAATGTAGGATACTTGTATAATTTCCATCTATAGTGGATACCATTAAAAACTCAACATTTATCAACTGAGACAGCATTATATCCCATAGGGGAAGAAACTGCAGAGTCTCAGATACCACCATGTGGTAATAATTGGTATGTGTTGATGGTTAAAGAGTGACTACTATATGTCATTGTAATATAGGCATCTCTATCCTAAAATGTAAGTCGGGGCTTATAGTGTGCCATGCATGGATACTGGACAGATTTCCTGTTGAATGAAGAAAGTCTCCTCACTCTGTTGTTACGTGGTTTGTGCGCTCTATGAATCAGTGCCTTGCCTGCTGTAAATCAGTACAGCGCCACTGTAATCAGGTGAATTTATACTGGTTGAAGACTTGGCCCTGGCACTTTCTTTAAAAAAAAAAATCACTAAAATGTGAACGACACTGATCTGCATAAAATTGCATTAACTAATAATACAATTGGTTTGTGCTAAGCATGACAAAGCTATACCCCAATAGTAGTGTGCAGTTTAGAACAAAGATAAAAATCCCACTGAAATGGAAATTAGCCTGAACAAAACTGAGAACAAATGATGGAGAGTATCAGAATAAGGCACCTTGTGACTCATGCCACCAATATTTTTTATTCCTTCTTTTTAAAAATATATTATTATTTTTTATTACGCAGCTGAATCGTTGTGCAATTCATTAATAGTGATGACAATATTTAGGAGAGATGCAGCCAGCACAGAATAGTCTGGAAAGAACCGTTATATTTTATGATTAATTCAAAATGCAGCAATAAATCTCATGACCAGAACATACTCAACTATCTGCAAATTACATCAGATGATAAACAATGATTGTTTCCCCCTCCTCCAAAGAGCCAATACTTTGTATGACCACCCTTTTGCAGCAATAACCACTTTAATATTTATCAAGACAGGATCTACAGTTTGTGCTACAACCAATTGCAAATTGTATTGACAGACCTTTGCTAAACATAATTACTCAGCAGGAGCCATGGTGAATCTATTAATCAAAGCGTATCTCAACTTTAATTTTATGGCACTTCACCGCTGAGCTGAGCAATCATTCATGTTGCTTGGGGTGAATGAATTTTATCCATTTCTGTTTACAACAGGTGAATATTTTAGCCCATGTAACTGAATGCTGGATGTTTACTCTTTCGCAGGGCCCAGGCTTACAATGCAATGAGCCCCCTCGATTCCCCCTGAAGTAAATGAGAAATGAAGTTTCAGACGTGCTCTGCCTCCTATCAACTTCAATAGGAGTTCAGGGGGCAGATTGCCTCACTTGAGGTGCTTAGCATCTCACATGTTGAGGGGCTATTCTTGTAAAAGGCAACCAAGTGACAGATGCTGTGGAAAAAGCTGCCTCACTTGAGGTGCTTAGCATTTCACATGTTGAGGGGCTATCCTTGCAAAAGGCAACCAAGTGACAGATGCTGTGGAAAAAGCTGAAGTACTCAGTGCTTTTTTGCCTCTGTCTTCACTGGGAAGGTCAGCTCGCAGACTGCTGCAGTGGGCAGCATAATATGGGGAGGAGGCGAGCAGCCCTCAGTGAGAGCAGGTTAAGGACTGCTTAGAAAAGCTGGACATGCACAAGTCCAAGGAACTGGATCTAATGCATCAGAGGTTGCTGAGAAAGTTGGCTGATGCAATTGCAGAGCCATTGGCCATTATCTTTGAAAAGCCGCATCAGAGGGTGCTGAGAAAGTTGGCTGATGTAATTGCAGAGCCATTGGCCATTATCTTTGAAAAGCTGTGGTAGTTGGGGGAGATCCCAGATGACTGGAAAAAGGCAAATGCAGGGACAGTCTTTAAAAAAAGGAAAGAGAAGGATCCGGGGAACCAACAGTGAGCCTCATCTAAGTCCCTGGAAAAAGTCTTTAAAAAAGGGAAGGAGAGGGATCCAGGGAACCACCAGTGAGCCTCATCTAAGTCCCTGGAAAAATCATGGAGGAGGTCCTCAAGGAATCTATTTTGAAACACTTGGAGGAGAAGAAGGTGATCAGGGACAGTCAAGAAGGATTCACCAAGGGCAAGTCATGCCTGATCAACCTAATCGCCTTCTTTGATGAAATAACTGTGGATAAAGGGAAAATAGTGGACGTGATATACCTTGACATTAGCAAAGCTTTTGATGTTCTGTGGATAAAGGGAAAATAGTGGACATGATATACCTTGACATTAGCAAAGCTTTTGATGCAGTGTCCCACAGTATCCTGGCCAGCTGGTTAAGAAGTTGGCTTGGCTGAATGGACTATAAAGTGGACAGAAAACTGGCTAGATCATCAATCTCAATGGGTAACGATCAATAGGCTGATGTCTAGTAGACAGCTAGTATCAAGCAGAGTGCCCCAGGCGTTAGTCCTGGGGCTGATTTTGTTCAACATCTTCAGTTATGATCTGGACGATGGGATGGATTGAACCCTCGGCAAGTTTGTGAATGACACTAAGCTGGGAGAGAAGTAAATATGTGTAGGGGGAGGGGAAGTATAGTGTCCAGAATGATCTAGACAAATTGGAGGATTGATCCAAAGGAAATCTGATGAGGTTCAACAAGGACAAGTACAGAGTCCTGCACTTGGGACTGAAGAATCCCAAGCATTGTTACAGGCTGGGGACCAACTGGCTAAGGGCTAATCTGCAGAAAAGGATCAGGGGAAGAGAGTAGATAAGAAGCGGGATACAGTTTGCCCTTGTTGCCAAGAGAATAAGGGCATATTGGGCTGCATTAGTATGAGCATTGCCAGCAGATGAAGGGAAATGAATATTCTCCTCTATTAGGCCTCAGTGAGGCCACATCTAGACTATTGTGTCCAATTCTGGCCCCCAAAATCAGAAGGGATGTAGACAAATTGGAGAGGGTCCAGTTGATGGCAATGAAAACCATTAGGGGGCTGGGGCACATGACTTATTAAAACTACAGAAGAGAAAAATAAGGGGGATTTAATAGCAGCCTATTACTCTGCTTTCAGGAAACCACCTTATGATTTCATTTCTCTTTTCTTCAGCTTGTTCATAGGACTCTGGTTACAGGTTGAATCTCCCTAGGGTCCGGCAACGTCCGTGGTCCAGCAGGACCATGGATGTTGCTGGACCAGAGAACCCCAGCTACGGAGCTTGGGAGTGGCCAGGAGTGGAATTGGTCTGGCGGGTTGGCAGCCCACAGGACCAGTGCCCTGGGGGCAGGGAGCCTGGCCGGCAGCCCACAGAGCCAGGGGCCAGGAGCAGAGCCGACAGCCTACAGGGCCAAGCGTCCCAGAGTGGCTGCCGTGGCGCACGGGGCCAAGAGGCTGGGAGCAGGGTCCTAAGAATGGCTGCTACCCCAGGCCAGGCCAGGCATCTGGGAACAAAGTCTTGCGGGCAGGGCAAGCAGCCCATGTTGCTGAGAACAGGACTGGCAACCAATGGCTCTGGGCAGCCAGGAACAGAGGAGACAAGCAGGTGGGCTGGGGTCAGCACTCTAGCTGGGGTCAGTAGCCAGGAGGGGAGCCGGAGAACCCAGAGGCCTGGCCTCCCCTGGTCTGGCAAATTCCCTTATTCAGGACTGCTCAGGTCCTGCGGGTGCTGGACCAGGGAGGCCCAGCCTGCAACCTGTATCTATTTTTTACAATTCATAAAACAATTAATGGAACTGAGGGATGTGACCATGCAGTAGCCCCTCTTGGTTACACGCACCCCCTCCCTCCACTGCCTCTGATACAGAGGCAGGGAGGTGGGAGCCAGTGTGCAGGGGGTGCTGGCTTTTAGCTTGTCTTCTACCCCTGCCTCTCACAAAGGCAGGGATAGAGGGGGGAGCCACTCCCCTCCACCCCCGCACTGCTGTGTCTGATACAGAGGCAGCAGCACAAGGTGGGGAAGCAGGCAGGAGCAGGTATGTACAGGGAGCCGACTTCCTCAGAGCTGCCTTCCCCCACATGCTGCTGGCTCTCACAGAGGCAGCAGCGTGGGGAGGGGCAGACGGGAAACAGTACTGGGCTCCCCGCGAGCACAAGCTCCCACCTTCCTTCCCCCCCCCCCCCACTCCATGTGTAAATGTGAATTCACTGAAAATCTCACTGGGTACACATTTACACAAAAACACATTTTAACATCACTAATGGAAATACAACCGCATGCAATAAACCTTCAGTGATTTTCAATGGATAAATTATTGATCAATTTTTTTGAAGTTTCTATTCTAGCCAGTCACTTTATCTCACTAAATAACTCATGCAAATTGGCCCAAATACGACTGTAATTCTGTGGCAGCTTTTTTGGGTACTGAGGATTTTTTTCAGCATCCATTCAGTAACGTTTTATAAAACATTATCTACTGGCCAAAATATATGGGGCCAGTACATCAGCTGGTTACTTAAGCTATGTGAATTTACATCAGCTCAGCTTTTGACAAATGTATTCTAGAAAATCATATTTGGCTAAGGCCAAACTCCTGTAAAAAGGCTAAAGCTGTCTACAATACTCTCTTTTGACCCTCTGTCTAATTATGCAGCTAATACACTAGTGTCAGTGTGCGGATGATTAACCATCATATTGTGATGTATGTACCAGATACTCAGTTGCTGAAAATTGGCATAGGTCTATTGACTTTAATTGTGTCCACATAGATTAACTCCAGATTTGAAGCTGGGTCGTACTGGAAACAGAACAGAATGTGACAAGTGAAGAGACTTCCTAGATTTGAGATTTTTCACCCTCTTTTTTTAGAAGAATATCTTTTGGGGGCAATTATTTTTTCCCGTCAGATGTAATGATTTCTGCTATACCCCAGCCATATATTTGGCTTCCACACAAGAACAACAGAGATCTTCAAAATCCATTTCTCAGCTATCACAATACTTTCTTGGCTTCCTCAAATATGCCACATCTCTGTACAAATATTTTATTGCTTGATGTATCCATAAGAACTGCTGAGAAAAATAATGCCATTCTCCCCAATTATTACACTGACTATTGTTTGTCTGTTTTGTTTTGTTTTACAGCCATTACATCTGAAACAGTAAGTTCCTGTTTTGGACTATCAGCAGGCCTCATATTCCAAAAGGAAGGAGTAGATATATCAGCAGGACTAGCATATGAAAAGTGTAAGGCGGAAGGATTCCTGAAGACTGGTATGATGCCTGAAAAGGCAACACAAAATATATTTATCTTACTGGTAAATCTTTAGCTGAATTTATCACTGATGTGAGTGGGTCAAACTGCATTTTTGGAGTTCAGTGGTGAGTCTGGCCTATTACCCATTACCAATAGCAGATTTCTGACTAACCGTGGATCTGGATGTACAAGTGGGTAGTTAGGTTATGGTTTAAAGTAGGGATGGGTGAAGCTCAAGGAGTTTCATGAACTGCTCAAAATGAATGTTGGGTGGTAGTGTTCACAAAACTAATTCAGATCCACAAACCAGTTTCCTGGTTATTCAAACTTGTGTTTTTTCAAGAAAAATTCAATGTAATCAGTACCTAATAGATAAATAATGAGTTTTGGGGTTTGACCGATTCCCTGTCCACAACCTCAAAAGCTAGGCTAGTACAAGTGGGCACTCTACATCGTGGGTCATGCTCCTGAGAAGATGTAAATCATCAATGGAGCCACGCTGATTTACACCAGCTGAGGAACTGCCCCATGTGTTTATTTTCACTATTCTCACAGAGAGTTACAATATTATATTTACTACGGGTTGAACCTCTCTCATCCAGCATTTTCTGGTCCAACAACATCCGTGGTCCAGCATGATTTTAGTTAGTCCACTATCCTGAGTGTGGCCAAGTTTCCCACAGTCCCATGAAGTTTGTTGACAGCCAAATTCCCCAGTCCTCAAGGGTGAAATTTCCCCTCACTCCCTTAGTGTCCAGGGAACGGGATGAAAAGCAAGCTGCATCCTGGAGAGCATAGCTGCTGCTCCCCTACCCTCCCAAAATTCTGCCCTTGCCAGTCCTGGCTTTCAGTATTTTGTGCTGTTACTGAGTTCTAATTAACCCGTAAATGTCTTCTAAGAGCCCAGTAAGCAGTGGAAGTGTTGATAATACTTCTAGACAATGTTGAGCTTCCATGGCTCAGCAAATTCTCTGGTTTAGCACCGGTCAGGTCCTGAGGGTGCTGGAGCAGAGAGGTTCAACTTGTAGTACTCCCAATCAGAATACTAAGGCAAAAGAGTAAAAAAAAAAAAACATTTCAATTTGAAAATATTTTGTTTGGACAATTTTGAATTGAAACAATTCCTGACATTCTCAAAGTATTTCATTGCGGGGGAAAGGGGCACCCAAACTACAACTCCCAGGAGACATCATTGCATCAGTGTGATTTAAGGTAGAACTAAGCCAAAATTGTATATTTTGTTTCAATACACGAAACCAAAATATTTTCATTGCGATCAAGCTGACCCAAAATAAATTATTTCATTGCAGTTTTTCCAAAGGAAAATTTAATTTTTCCCATTGTGGCAAGACTTAGCACTTTGATGATGGTGAGGTGTGGGGTAAATCACTCCCACTCTAGGCAGAGTTTGTCTTCCCCTTCTGTGTTTAATTGTCTATATTTTCAGGGTAGGTGTCAGGGTAAATCTAAGGAATGCACCTGTACCAACCAAAAAAGAAAAAAAAGTACAAACACAAGAACAAAGGCAACGTGCCCTCTAATCTTTTCCATCCATGTGCGGAATAATTTTATGTGCACCAAGGTGTGTGTGAATGTGCACCACCAGCAGGAACACAAACCTAGCAGTGAGCACTTTGCTAGTCAGCTGGGTGGTACTGGAATCTCTCCTGTGTGGTTGCACACCTTACAGGGAACACTGAACAAAGGGGGATATCCTTCCCTGCTCCCACACTGGGAGGGATGTTGTCTTGTTATTTGCCTTGGGATGTCAGTCCTTCCCCTAAACAGGCACTCTGTTTGGGTTGTTTCCCCTGTGGGGAAGAGAACTCCTTGCTGCCACTCTCCCTGCAACAGCCTCTCTTCTCCTTGGGGGTTTTAAAAGGTATCGGGAAGCTCTGAATGGCACTTAGGAGTTCCTCACTGGCCTTCTCAGCTTGTAGAAAAAAAGGCTTTTATCAGTCTAGGGCTTCCACCACTTTCTTGCCATCCAGCCTGACTTTGTCATCCCACGTAAAATTTCAATTTTGCAGAAAATGCTTTTTCTATAGAAAACGCATTTCAGTGGAACATTCCCCACTAGCTGCAATTTCCTCCATAGAATGTTTCTCTCTCCCAGTCTATGTCCTCCACTGTCTGTTTGATTTTTCCTCCCCTACATCTTCCAGTATCTCATTTAGACTCAGGGCACCTGATTACTATTTCCTGATAATGTGCTGTGTGACCTTGGGCAAGACTCTTTGCCTCTCCACAAAAAATGTCTAGGGGGAAAATGGTACTTAACGAGATTTGTAAAGCATGCTGCGATCTACAGAGGAAAAGTGTGATACGTATGACAAGTATTGCTATTATTGTATATGGACTGGGGAGCACAAAAGCCATCTTTGCCCCACATTCTCAGTCTGGTGTATTTATCAGACCCATGAGAAGATCAGAACCATGAAGTTTGGAGGTTCTTTAACTCCTACATCCCCATGATTATAGCACCTAGAACAGGGGAGGCGACAGGATTTCTGGGTCCTTGGGCAATGTTGGGGGGGGGGGTGAAGCAGCTCTGTGCTCCCAGGGCCTTGGGTGGAAGGGGCAAGGCTGGGCAGTCAGCCCCCTGCACCAGCCTGATGGCCTAGTGCCTCCCTGCCAGCCCTCAGAACTCGCTGAAGTGCGCGGCACAGGGCACTGGAATGCGCTGCCCAACACGCTGGTGTGGTGATCCTAAAGGGCTTGGGGGCTCCGGCTGCTGGGAGCCCTGTGCCCCTTAGAATCTCTGGGACCCGTGGCAGTTGCTCTCTTTCAGGCCCCTTCCCCTGTCAGCCTGATCTAGAATGCTTAACGCATCAGCTGCATCTTGTAATAAAGGGGAAGGCTGTTTAGGGCTTGCTCCAAAAGCTCATTGAAGTCAATGGCAACTCTCCCCTTGACTGTCATGGTGCAGGATCAGGGCCAGACTGGGAGCAAGCGGCCATTGAGTGAGTTGCACTGTTTTTACTGTGCCACTAAATGTGTGGCAATGGTTACGAATCCATGTCATTCAACTTTCCAGATGAAAAATCCAATAGTGCGTTAGTGGAAGATATTATTCCTCGGATCCAAGGGGGAGATGTCAGTTCAAGTGGAGGGCTTATGAACATTTGGAATGCCAATCTGTATCGTCGCTGGGGAAGGTCATTGAAATATAATCCTGCTGTTATTGATTTTGAGGTAAGACTTTTTGCAGTTGAAGAAACACCCATCGCTATGAGGAATGAAAGGGTAGTAGACCAGATCGTTCATATTTTCATTGTGATCCCATCATAGAACAAGATTAAATGTTTTGGGCCGCTGATCTAGTAACCTCTCAGACATGCCACAATGGGGAGGGCATTTCTTAGCAACCCCTCCAAGGTGAGATAGACAAGAAGCTTAATGCTGGCTTAGTGCAGCGTTTACTTTTTGATGTGGCCCCCTGCACAACTGAATAGCTTCCCGAGGAATGGTTTTCAGGGGTCACAGAGTCACTCTTATTCTCACTACTGAAATCTGTGTTCTCCCAGTTAAATAGGGAACTGAAAACCGACTTGAAAACGTAGAATCCTCCCCAGCATAGCCACACTGCAGTTGCTAATAGAGCTCACTGGCTGTACTACTGAATGCACCCCATGCAATCCAATGTGGGGCATACAGACAATTTATAGGTCCACTGCTCATGCTCACAATCTTCTGCACTCCAACAGACAGACTTACTTCTATGAAGTGGGGTATTGCAGAACTTGGCTTCAAGATAATTCTTGTCTTGGCTTCTTGTGCTGTTTACCCTTCCATATCATAGAGGTAGGCACTATATAAATATCAAAATAGATAGCTAGTTCCTCTGGGATTTTGACAACCTGTGGCCATGGAGCAGGATTCAGTATTTTGCTCTTCAGGATGAGACAAAGAGCAAGGAGAGAAAAGAATTTTCTAGTTAGAGTTAAAGATGTTTTATTAGTTAGATTGTACTGCTGGGGCATGATCAATTATTTTTATATCTCTGCCTTTCATATGGTTTCCTTGCAATCAGCTGGGTAACCTTAAAAAAAAGTCCATGCTAAATTTAAAACTGCCTACAAAAAACAAATGTAAAATACCTAAAAATTTAAAAAAAGGCTCAGATGGATTTACCTTGAATTCAGTTCTGGATTAATCACTGCAATAGTTTTGCATGCAGCTCAGGACCTCTAATTCTCAAGAGTATTAGCAAGTACTTATCTCCTAGTAGCTATAAGTAATAATATAAAATGGTTCATCAGCAAGAGTGCTAGATTAGGCAGTCTTTGCAAAAAAGTTTTCATGTTGAATGCTCTAATTTGAGAGACAAGTTTGTATCTCAAACTGGAACAGTCAAAAAAGATTTAAAATTTTTTTTTTAAATAGCTAGAGACAGTTCCATGCTAGGCTGGTAGCAAAGCTAATCCCTAAGTTAATGCAACCACTTCTTTTATTTGAAATGGTTGATAGAATTTGGCCACTGTTCTTCCCAGACTTTAATAAGAGAGATGATTCTCTCATGGATCAATAACTGTTTAAAAGGTAGGAAACAAGGGTAGGAAATTGGAATAAATGGTCAGTTTTCAGAATGGAGAGAGGTAAATAGCAGTGATCTCCAGGGCGTCTGTACTGGGGCCAGTGCTGTTCAACATATTCATAAATGACCAGGGAAAAGGGATAAATAGTGAGGAGGAAAAATTGTAGATGATGCAAAATTGTTCAAGATAGTTCAGTCTCAATGCAGACTATGAAGAGCTGCAAAGGGATCTTACAAAACTGAGTGAATGGGCAAGAAAATGGCAGATTAAATTCAATGTCGATAAATGCAAAGTACTGCACATTGGAAAATATAATCCCAACTATACATACAAAATTATGGGGTCTATATTAGCTGTTACCATTGAGGAAAGACAATGTGGTATCTTTGTGGATAGATCTATGAAAACATCAGCTAAGTGTGAAGTGGCAATTGAAAAAAGTTAAGAGAATGTTAAGAACCAATAGGAAAGGGATAGATAACCAGACAGAAAATATCATAATTCCCCTCTATAAATCCATGGTACAGCCACATCTTGAGTACTGCATGCAAATCTGGTCCCCCATCTCAAAAACATTATATTGGCATTGGTAATGGTGCAGAGAAGAGCAATTGAAGGCTACATCTACACTGCAACGCTATTTCAGGATATCTCCAGTATTTCAAAATAGCTTTTCCACATCTTTCAAGCATGGCCTACTTCAAAGTAGGAATAAGAGATCCTCCGGAATAGGGCTTTATTCCGGAGGATCGGGCCAGTCTAGACGCTTTTTTCCGGCTTTTCCCCAAGCCGGAAAAAAAGCGGCGGACATGTTTATTTAAATCCCGCGGGGGATATTTAAATCCCCCGCGCATTTCCCTATTCCCACTTTCAAAATTAGCATGCCCCTTCCGAAGAAGGGGCCAGTGTAGACGTAGCCAAGAACTCAGGGTCATCCAATGAATTTAATAGGTGGCAGGTTTAAAACAAACAGGCTACGTTTACACTGGCAGCTTCTTGCGCAATAACTGTTTTGCAGAAGAGTTCTTGCGCAAAAAGTCTTCCACAAGAGCGCATCTACACGGGCATGTGCTTTTGCTCAAGAGATATGCTTTTGCACAAGAGCATCTATGGCAGTGTGGATGCTGTCTTGCACAAGGAAGCTCTGATGACCATTTTAGCCATAGGGGTTTCTTGCCTAAGAAATTCATGTTGCCTGTCTACACTGTCCTCTTGCACAAGAGCTCTTGCACAAGAGGGCTTATTCCTCATGAGGAGAGGAATAACTCTTCCAGAAGAAGCCCTGTTTTCCGATGCTATACTGTAAATTTACTTTCACAAGAACGCATGTGCAGTGTAGACACCCGGCAAGTGTTTGTGCAAGAAGCCTCCAGTATAGACATAGCCACAAAGTATTTCTTCATACAACCCCCAGTCAACCTGTGGACTCTTTGCTGGGGATGCTGTGAAGTCCAAAACTATAACAGGGTTGAAAAAAAAGTTAATGGGGGATAGGTCCATCAATGGCTATTAGCCAGGATGAGCAGGGATGCAAATCCATGCTCTGAAGTGTCCCTTGATTCTGTTTGCCAGAAGCTAGGAATGTGCGAGAGGGGATGGATCACTTGATGATTGCCTCCTCTGTTCATTCCCTTTAAAGCACCTGGTGTCGAGCTCTGTCAGAAGACAGGTCCTGGGGTGGATGGACCATTGGTTGGATCCAGTGTGGCCACTTTTATGTTCAACTCCACAGCTTTATAAAAAATCCTTTTTTATCTTGCCTGCTGAAACCTGATTGCCCTGTTAGCAGCTGGAGGATCCATTCCTGTTGGTCACACCAGCTGCTGATTCTGGGTACCATCTCTCAACAGTTCTTGGAGATTTAAACACACTGTTTTCCCATGAAAGGACAATCTGTTCAGGCAAGGTATGCCAAGGTGGTGGGGTCCCTTAGCAAGGAGCATCAAAACGGCACAAAAATCATTATTCTGTCCTGGCAGTGTGATGGCCTTTGTAAATTGGTGCTCTAGGTATGGCTGATTCCAGGCCCACTCCTCCCCTAAACCAGGAAATCATGACTAACGCTGGATCTTTGGTGTCAACTGAAACGCCAAGAACATGGAAATGGAAAATCATTGTACCCCAGTAGATGAGCTGTAGATCTCCTCAGGTCAGACTTAAGGCACATTGTTGGGGCAGTATGAGAAAGCTGCTGCTATTGTCTCAGCTCTGATTTCTAATGTCACTCTGCCACCTACATTCGTTTAACAAGAATAGGTGGGTATAGGCAGCCATCGTACAAAGCACAAAACTCAATTCAGACTCTCAATATGTTGCCATTTCAAGATTAGGCCTCAAATCTATAAGCCCTGGAAAGCTAAAGTCAAATACAATTCAGTTACCGCTGCCGGTCACTCCATTTGGAGGACCTGATATTTACTAGCGTAAATGAGACTTATTGACATCAATGAGCCATGGGTATTTACATTCTTGATGAGGAAAAGTAAGGTTTTTCGTTCATTTGCAAGTAGCTTCTTAATGCTCAGGAGGAAGGGGGGACTAAAAGCAGAACATGCTTGTGTGCCCACCAATGCTCGGGGGGGAGGGGGGGCTAAAAGCAGAACATGCTTGTGTGCCCATTAAAATAGAACAAGGCTATTACAGACAAACTTGCACAGAGCCCTGAGTGCTTTCAGAAAGGGAGTCACTGAGAGGAGATAGAGAAAGGAGGACAACATTGACGAGAAAAAATATTTCAGTCCAGTTATATGCTGCAGCTTTCATTTTGTGCCATTGCTACTACAGCTTGGATCTGCCATGGTCTGGCACCCCCAGGACCTGACTGGTCCCGGATAAGGGATTTTCATTTCAGGCCCCCTGCTGCCACCCTCCCCTCTCTGTACCGGACTTTCTGGCTCCCAGCTCAGCTCAGCTGCATGCCAGCTCTCACAGCACAGTGAGCAGTGTGCCTATTCACACTCCCCCTCCCCTGCAGCCCTGCTGAGCAGCTCGCCAGCTCCTGGGCCCCCACCCTTCTGCATCATGCCGGGACTCTCTGATCCTGGGACATCCCTGGTCATGCCACACCACAGATGTTGCCAGACCAGAGAATCCCAGATTTTAGAGGTGCAACCTGTATCAGTGCATCACTGTCTTTTACAAGCCATTTTCTTGTGAGTGTGTGGCTGTGGAAGGAGTGTTTCTTGTCTTGCACTGAAGGGTGAAAAATCTTCCATGAGAATTGCCACCTACTCTGGGACTTCAGCTGTGTAATGAAATGGGGAACATCTAGATAATTGTATAGGTATGGCATCCTGCAACTTGGCTGCCATTCCCCAAAGCACATCTCCCTCTGACTTTGGGGAGGGGGAATGTGAGAGAAGATAGAAAGGTGCCCAGAAGCAGAAATTATCTACATTATTAGCTGGGCAAATGGGAAATTACAGACCATTCTGTCACATTGACAAAATGGTCTGTTTAAACAGAACCACTCTCAGTAACAGCTGAGCATTCTGCTGCATGTTATCCACCCTTTGGTACAAGTTTCCATCAACTGTGGGCAAAATTTGCTGCAATTTTCTAGTAACTCACTCAGCAGCCTCTCAATTGGCTGCTGTAGGAGCTCTGCAATTGCTTGTGGAACTGGGGTGAATTCAGGCTTCCGATAAAACACTTGTATCCACTTGAATGCCTCTTATTTTTAGCACACTCTTATTTGTTAAAGGGCCTTGTGTACACTGTTTTTAAGAAGCCTTTTCAAAGCCATGTAGGAAAAAACCTTTTCTCTGACACCAATGTGAGCAGATGCACCTATTTAAGTCTCATTCATGGATATGTACGTTCACACTGAGATATATTGTGGCAGGTTGAAATCACAGAAGTTCCCTTTGAGTTGTCACCTGGGGCAATGATCATGCCACTGAGGCCCATCTTCCCACTTCCTAGGCCTCCCCACCATCCTGTCTTGCTGAGTCAGATCCTCTGGTCTCCCTTAGACAAGGCACAGAGTTGGGGTTACCACCATCCTGCATAGCAGCATGGACACTGGACCACCTCTGTCCTGGGAGGACTAAGTTCTAAGGACTCAGCACCCAGGAAACCAGCTCCCAGATGGGACCCAAAACCTCAAATAAATGTCTGGAGGTTCTGCTGAGAGGGTTGATTCAGGGCAAAATACTTAAATACAGGACAACTTACAGTCCAAGACCAGGGTCCTCCACTAGAAGGCACACCAAGTCAGTCACAAAGAGCACTGATTAGTAAGAAGTCATACAAGCAACTCCCATAGACATTCCAGATTTCCTGTGCCAAGAGTCCCACTCTTTATACAGATGAGAGGTTATGAAAACCCATTTTACCAAATCAGAACAGATTCTTCCAGTCCCAACAGACCAGCCACATTCCCATTTTGTTTTATAGCTCAGATCTTACCCAAAAGAGCAGATCAGCCACATTCCCATGTTGTTTTACAGCTCAGATCTTACCCAAAAGAGCGTGTGGTTAGCCAACCCTTTAGACTCTAAAATCTAAAGGTTTATTGAGCAAATAAAGGGTAAAATTGATAAAGGAATCAAATACTTGCAGCAATTGCATAGTTCTTGGTCCAGGCTTCTAGCAGAGGTGGCATGATCTACTGTCTTAAAACAAGTCTCTGGAATATATCCTCTGTTGGAATGGGTCACCCATTCTTTCAGGTTTCAGCTCATAGCAGAGATCCATCAGAAGCGATTAGCTGGATTGAAGGCAAAATAGAGGAGCCCTCGGGGCCTTCTTTATCCTCCTGCCCATGTGGAGGGAATCCAATCCCATTGCTCTTGCTTTGTGAAATTACGTCCCAAGATGGATTTTGTCACATGAGCACGTTCACCTGTCCAAGATGACTCAGGCCTTTTTAGGGAGCAGCCATCGCTTGCATGCTGGTCTGAATATTCACAGCAAAGCATATCAGATGTGGATTGGCACCACCTGAGGTGTACTGTCCCCTAAGTGCTGCTGTTGACTTGACTAGCAATCCCTTCACAATACGTTGGCCAGGCTTGTTGATGTCTCCCAGAAGCAAACATTTGAAGTATGAGTACATACTCAAACTTCAAATGCAAATTGATACACATATATGAGCAGTATAAACAGAATCAGCCCAGCATCAGCTTTTCATCGACATCTTTCCTGGCTCACATTGTACAAGATTTGGTGCAAACATATATCAGTGGTTGCAACAATTATTTGTATGTTCATCTCACAATCCAATAATGTCAAATATTTATACACACACACATCTACCAACACACACATATTTTTGTATAGGTTATAGAAGTCAATCTGAACTTTTAAAATGTACTTTGAATTATGTGCTTGAGAAATTCTATTCTATGAATTTGAAACACATAAGGGGCAAGATATTATGGCCAACTTTTGGTCATTTCGATGCCTAAAGTTAGCTAATTAAAATCTTGCTATAGACAGCTAACTAAAAGCCTGATTTTTCAAGGTGATGAACATTTCAACAGGAAAGGTAGGTCTTTAGCGCCTCATGAAATCAGTTCATTTTTATTTAAATATGGACGTTAGGTTCATAGTTTTAATTATCTGCATTTGAATAGTTTGGCCTAAACACATGGCAGCTTTAGATGCTAGTATTGTTTGTCTCACGATGTTTTAAACTTTTCAGCTGGCACAATATGTTTTAACTGCATCATACGGTACCACAGCTGTGTATGCCTCACACACAAAGATGTGTGCATACAGTATATATGGATGCAGGACTGATACTGCTTTGATTGAGGTGGTCAGGCTAACATTTAGATTAAATGACACCAAAATGGCACAAGCTGCTACCAGGAGATTATGGTCCAACATGGCAGAAATCATGTAAAACACTTCCATGTCTCTGGTGGCTGTTGATCTGATTTGGGATCAGAATCAAAGGGCTGCATGTAAGTCTTTAGGGTGACCATCCTTCCCATTTTTAACCCTTATTTAAGCTCTCTGTCAGGTGCCGACTTTTTTTTTAAAGGGGGCAAAATGTCCGGTATTTGCACACCCCCTCCTGGTCTTTGAGTTCCCCAGTAAGAACAGCGGTAGCAGCCTATTTGTGGTTGGCAGTAAAGCAGGCACCAGTACATGGTGTCTGGAGTGAGGCAGGGAGCCGAGGGAGTAACATAGAATGAAAACAGGTAGGAGTTTCTTTCCTCCCTATGTGCCCTAAAGGAGGGGGAAAGCCTGCCAGCCTTTCCAGAATATGGGGCTGAAGCTCCAACTTCCAGCGCCCACCCCCACTCAGGGCTGAAACCCCTTTCTTGTCCCTATCACGGGATGCATCCCCGTTCCCACACAGCCCTCGTCACTAGGCTAAAGCTCTTTTGTCACTGCAGAGCTCAGCCCCGTTCCCAGGCAGCTTTGGTCGTGGAGCTCAAGCCCTGTTCCTAGGCAGCCCCACTGCAGGGCTCATCCCTTGCCCCGTCCCATTTCACGGTGGGGCAGCCCCCCCCCCCCAGTCCCATGCTGGGCATAGGAAAATAGGGTCACCCTAATGTCAGACCAAGAATATAAATCATTCTAACAGCTCCAAGATTACAAGGGCTTTGGAGTTGAGGTTTCTGGCTTTGGACCATCTATAATATTGTCAGTAGAGCCAGCATAGTCACTGGGACTATGGGGGAGCGGGCCCTCATGTGGTAGGGGTGAGGCTGGGTCTCTCTGTGCCACAGGAGTGCACATGGCGGGCTCTAGTGGCAATGTAAAGGGGCTGCTATGACCATAGTCCTTTTTAGGTCAAACTATCATCCTTAAATTAAAGCCCCTTTTTGCGTACCCACTAAAGCAATGATAATCCTTCACGGCCACATCCTCTCACCTCTTCTCTGCAGCTGCAGCCCATCCACGAAATCCTCCGCCGCAGCAACCTGGGGGCTATTGAAACAAAAAGGCAAAACCTGAAAAGGGCTTTGGACGAATACTTAGCAGAGTTCAGCGCCTGCCGCTGTGGCCCTTGTCAGAACAACGCGGAGCCCATGCTTCTCGGGAATGCCTGCGTGTGTCAGTGTACACAGGGGTTTGAGGGCCCGGCCTGTGAGAAGACCAGACGCCAAGGTAGGGCAACAACATGTACACATGGCGGTGAGGAAGGCGGCAGGGTGTGTGTGTGTAGCAACTGTGTTCTCACCCTGGGCAATGCTAATCGGCAGCTATTTGAATCCATTCATCAATCAACCCTTCGCTTCTTAACCACCTTTGGTGCGAAGTAGTCTTGGGGGCTTTACAAACAAGGAAAATTAACGGCTCGCGTAATTCTTGTAAATAAGCCAGGTGTAAAAAGGGAGGCTTTAAATGCTGGAGACATGTCAGCACCCCAGATTGTCAGAGACCGTGGTGTGTGAGCTGAGGAATAGCAGCCAGTGAGCAGCTCTGACAACAGAGTCTTTGCTCGGCTCTGTGAGAATCATCAAGGAATCAGCTTTCCTAGGCCTCATTGCACACTCGGCGTATGGAAGGCCGGGGGACATCAATGCAATAGGCCAGATTAAATTGTTCTTCTTCTGTTGTGGATACAAGTGTGATCTCAAACGTGCCAGGGAAAGGAATCAATCACCAGCAAGGCTGGGGACACCAGCAGGACCCGACAGCAGCATCTGGCCGCAGTTGTCACCTGCACGGGGCTGCATCACGGAGCCCGTGAAATATGATCTGACTGGAGGTTGGATCAACTCTTCAGTGTCAGACAGAAATGACAGAGGCAGAAGTGAGGAAATAGCCTTTAAATGGCAGAACGCTGATCTCTATGGAGACCAAAAGGAGTCATTATGCCCAGAATGGTCCTCATTGATCTGTGAGGAACTAGAGTCATTTGACCCAGGCGCCCTTGAGGTGCCGATTTGCAAGAGCTGATGTGACATCCGCTTTCAGACCACTGCTGAGCAGGATACATGTAGGTATTGCAGTGATGGACTGCAGCGCAAACCCTGAGGGAGAGAGTGAGCGGAGATAGACTGAGAAAGCCATGCCAAAGGCCAAGGGGTAACGCTTGATACTATCAGCAAAACTGTAGTGAGGTCAGATTTTCAAAAAGCATTTTCGGCACCTAAAGATGTAGATCAGCACCTACTGAGATTTTTCAAAAGCACCTAAATGCCTAACAATTGAAATCAATAGGAGCTAGGCCCTGGGTCTGTGTCACTGGAAAACTGATGCCTTGATAGTACAGATAGTAAGAGCATATAGGACCATCAGGACTTCATAGCAAACTTCAACCCAACTAGATTAATATAGTGTCTGTGATACACACTGAGACCAGTTGAGTAAATTAAAAATAAATGCAGTGACAGCCCCATCATGTGCTCCCATCAATCTAAAGAGACACCATAATCTATAGTATTGAACTCTGCTGACAAGTCAGAGTGTACTGCGATGAAAAAGCCCTGAAATGACACTTCCACAAAGAATCTCTGCTGAGTTTCCCCAGGCAGCATGACTAGGATGAGCAGCCTGGAACGAGATTGAAACTTTTAGCCTTTCGGGGGTGAGACCATTCCAGCACTGAGACACATCAGCAATCACTTGGGAAGAAGAGGCCAAATTGTAACTCCTCCAGTTATCAGAGACGGAAAGTAAAAAGCTCCCAGTCTGCAGAGGGTAAGTAGTCTTCAGAAGACCCTGCTTTCAAAGTGTCACATAAACACTGATAAGTCTCAAGGATGCAGAGGGAACCAGTGTCAGAGCGAGGGTTAGATTGCTGGTCTAAATAAAAAGTTGATCATGGCAGCTTCTGACTCACTCCCATAGGAAAGTTAAAGTTGTCTTTGCACCAGCTCTCCAGGGCAGCATGCCTCTGCCACAAAGCAATTTCACTTTCAGCTGAGAATCGCTTGCTTGTGAAATGAACCTTATCATCTAATATATTTTTAAAAATCATTTTACAGGCACTAAGACACACGGTAGCTGGAGCTGCTGGTCACCCTGGACCCCCTGCCAGTCTGGAACAAAGAGACGAACAAGACAGTGTAATAACCCAGCCCCGCAAAATGGTGGCACTTTGTGTGCTGGAAAGTGTGTGCAGACAGAGACATGCTAAAGGCTGGTTAGTTCTGGGATAAGTTATGACACCGATTAATGGGAATATATGGTAGATAGCCTTTTGCATAGTAGGCTGTAACTACCACTGGCATAACTCAGGTGAAGTCAATAGAATTACACTAGTGATAAATCTGGCCTATAATTTTATATTCCTAGGAAGACTGAATGGAGACACCAGATGAAGTCAGAACACTGCCCAATAAATTCTGCAGGTTACGTTTTTTGCATACACTCTCACTCAGATTGGGAAGCTTGTTACCTTCAATTTGTGATGACACAGGCTGCAAGGCAGTGGAGAATCACAGCTAATGCTTTTTACTGAACAACAATAGGCTTATAAAAAGGGATTTACATGGGAAGCTTCACTACTGAAATGTTTGTATTTGCCTTTGGAAGACAAATTAAAAGCTCATGATCCTTGCATTGAATGAGTTGTGTGTTGACATAACATTGATTTCTGTAACAATGCAAGTAATGTCAGATTTATGCACAAGCTAAGTAAGCTTCACTTTAGGACCCCAGGTTATGAGGGGCTTCTAAATACAAAAATTTCTAGTTTTTAGATGCATCCTCACCTATGTACTGGTATAGATGCAAATATAAAACTATTACGTCTATTTTCATTGTTCTTTCTGTTAGAATAATACCTTTTTTGTAATACTAAGGGGCCTTTTAAACTTGACATAATTTAGGGCCTCAGCATTTCTTAATCTGGCCCTGCATGCAAGCAAACTATTTCAGTAAGAACTTTAAACATAGCATATCTGGCAGGACCCTGCTTCCTGTGGCTCCAAACGGAATTTTGCTGTCATTTTCACTGGGAGTAATATTAAGTCCAAAGATGCTAAAGTTCCAGGGTGAAATGTTAACATAAATTGATGAAGAAAGTGTGAGAGGGGTAGTTGTGTTAGTTTGTAACTAAAAAAAAATTAAAAAACAACAATGGTCCTGTCGCACCTTATAGACTAACCAAAATATATAAATAGTATCATTAGCTTTCATGGGGCTGAAGAAGTGGGTTTTGCCCACAAAAGCTCATGATACTATGTATATAATTTTGTCAGTGTCTAAGGTGCTACAGGTCCATTATAAATCGATGAAGAATAACAAAATCAGAGCCAAATGAAACCGCTTTACAGGGGACATTGCTGAACAAACGAGGCTATTCCTCTTTAAGCTCAGTGATGAATCGTCTATTAAAACAGAAGCATTTTATCTCCAAGGCACCTAGAGCTGGAGAAAATGTTAACAGGTTTGTTGATTTAAGAGCCCTTTTTTGAATGTAAGAATAAATCTTAGCACAAGAATATGTACAGTATTGAACTGCATCCAAGACTGCAGAAAGAGTCCATTGCTCAGCGCTTCTGAAGAACCGCTGTAAAAATCGGGAATGGATGGAAAGTGAATGGCATTTAATTTTACCATGCTTTTCATTAAAAGGAAAATGAGTCATGACTGAATCTGAGGGGGCGGAGAGGGGAACTTAGTGCAACAAAGAACAATGCTTGGGAAAGAGGACAAAAAATATTATAGCACCATTGTTCAGCAAAAAAAAAAAATTGCTTAGTTATTGCTGTTTTCTTGGAAAAGAGAGTTTTCCAACAACAAGTCAGTGGTGAATTAGGGCCACATCCTCAGCTGGTGTTAGCATAAATAGTAAAGGCTAACTACACTCCATTGTCCATAATCTAATGGGGTTGTGCTAGAAGCCTTTGATGTTACAGCAGATTTTATAGCAACAACTTCATTATATCAAACCAAGAGCTACAAAGTGATTTCCCCAAATGGTCACAGATCTCCAGTGAAGAGCGTTCCTCACGCTCCTTGTAATAAATGACAGTGAAAAACAAATAGTGAGGTTTTATTCAAATGTCAAAGAGAAGACTCCTCACTCTCCCAGGCCTTTCCCACGTCATTCAGGGCCCAGTGCTGAGACTCAGAACGCAGAGCAATGAAGTGGACATGCAACGAATAAGGGAACCTGCCTGCGGGGTCTGGTAAAGATTATGAGAAATTATGCATGTACAATCTAAGATAACCAACAATGAAGATCCTGGCATGTAAGTTGCATCAAAGGAATCGAGGCAAGAAAGAGCAGGTTTCTTACCTAAACTAAAATCTGGTACATTAAAACAGCATTCCATCCTACTTTTTAATGAATGAATTCTACCCTCCCGCACACTGATATATAGTTGATGCAGCTATTTATCCTATATATTTCATCAGAGCTATCCCCTCAACAGCCTTTTTTATTTCTCTTATCGTTAAATGCTGAATGGATGATGCTGTGGATAAACTGTTTCACAGTCAGATAATTTTATATGCATATAAGCAAGCTAGTTTATTAACAAAAGGAGGGCAGCAAGGAACCAGTGCACAATGGACAACAGTAAGTGATTGATGACAGTACAGCTTAGGGTGCAAGGTGCAGACTCAAGATAACTGGCACACAGAAGAGCGGATAATGGCAGAGCGTCACACAGAGAACTCTTTTCTACCTAAAGGTCAACGTCATGCTGACTACCTGATGCTCTGATTCCCTTTGAGGCTGGGTTTTTACATCCACAAGAATCAATAGCAGCTCTAAAATTGTTGCTTTTCCTTTCTGTATATTATGCAATACAAAGTTACATAAGCAAACAATACAACAACAAAAAATATTCCATAGATTCCAGATTCTGTGGGGACAACAGGCTTGAAAAGTAACTAGCACAATGGGACTATGATCTCTACATAACAACTGTTGGGGGTGGAGGGGAGGGAACCAACCTCAAAACCAAAAACAAACAAACAAAAAACTTATTAGCCAGGAGCAAAGGACAATTTTACATATAAACCAGGAATTAGACTCCTACTTAAGAAGTGAACAAGCGTCATTCCCATCTGGGTAAATAAATTATAAGGCTGTCTATATATTTAATTAGCTACATCAGCACCACAGTGTTGTTTCAGTATAGACATCACAGCAATGGGAGAGATTCTTCCATCACCATAGTTAATCCACCTCCCTGAGAGGAGTGTTGACAAAAGAATTTTTCAGTCATTATAGTGCTGGCCACATAAGGAGTTAGATCGGTTTAACTATGTCAGTTGTGGGGTGGATTTTTCACATCCCTGAGCGATGTAGCTAGATCATCCTAACTTTTAAACAGTGGAGGTTTGGCCTAAGTGTTTGCATCCGTCAAAATAGTGCCTAAAAACATAGATGAGTGCTAAGACTTTTATTAGAATCTGAACCTCTGTCTTTAGCCAAGGAAGCTATCTACATGGTTTGCTGGGGATACTGTTTTGGGAAATTATATCTTGGTATATGCAGTAATATTGCAATGTCAAAAAAGCCAATTTCTCAGAACCGTTAAAAGCTGGACAAAAGTGTGGAGTTGATTGCCACTTACTCTAGATTGGATCCATGGATGCCTGACACAGGAAAGGTTCATCTTAGCCAAAACACTTAGGCCACGTCTTCACTAGGGGTATGTCTACACTACCCCGACATACCCTAGGAGATTATTTTGAATTTACTAAGTTTGACTTCTGTATTCCTGATTTAACAAATTCGATGTTCTATGTCCTCCCTATGGAGAAATATAGAAATTACTCCGAGGCAGGCTCGGTTAATGGGGACACCTATCTCAGACTCAGAGCCCCAGGAAGCACTCTGGGGGGAGCTGCAGGAGGCCTCCCATAGGCCAGTAAATTCAAATTAGCGGCACTGGAGCATCCACACTAAAGTTATTTTGGACTTACAAGTTCAGAAATAGCATTATTCCTCATGAAAAGCAGGAGTACAGAGTTCGAATTCCATGGCCCCTTATTCTGGAAAAACGGGCATGATAGTGTGGACACATTGCTTCCTAATTCAAACTGGGGTGAGGGTTATTTTGGACTAAGATTCTAGAGTAGACCAGGCCTTAATGAGCATCACTGAAAAGGAAGAGATAAGTGGAATAAAGAAGGAGACACAAACATCCTGTATACATCTGGATTTTTTACTACAGCTCTCTCATGTTTTTATATGTGAAATGTTAATACAAATTTCCACAGAAATTAGAACCATCAATAAAACTGTAGCATTACTTAATATGTACCTAAATGAAGCAATAAAAGCCCATGCATCATTATTTTTATTACCCTGGGCTGTAATAAATCATAAGTTAGTTAAGTCTAGTCCAGAAACCACAAGGACAAAATAAAACTCTGTCCTTTAAAGGAACCTTTCAAGACTTACAAGCCCCAGATTGAAACTCCAACAGAAAGCATGCTTAAATAAAATGTCATGCTGATTTTGAAATATCTGTGCTACCTTTCACCCCAGGCCTGAAACATCGATAACATCTTTGTCTGCTCAATTGAGCATTTAAAGTCAGTCTGAAAAGTTTATTTGTGAGTGCAGATGCAGTTGATGTATGGTCCGGAAGCCTCTGATCTGCTGCTTTCTTCATCTTCATGCCCAAGGAAGCTGGTGAAATAGAAAACAACACACTCTTGTAGAGTAAGAGTTAATTTCCTTCCTCTGCCTGTTTTGAAGCAGAGAGAACTCAAGTGTAACTTTGTATGCAAGTTACATGGACACCTCTGAGGTGCAACAATGTTGGTTAATCAGGATTCTGTGTCCCATTCTGTGAACACTGGTATGACTTTAAATACATTTTGCTTTGACTGTGCCCTCTTTGACAGGGACCCTGGCCAACTTCCAATGCCTAAAAGTGTTCACAATTACAGCATAAAAACAGAAGCGTTTTGGAGTTAGCAGCTCAATTACGTAGCCATTATGAGAAGAGGGTTTTCTGCCTTTACATATACAACATAGTTTCCCCTTCTTAATGCTGTCACAAAGACATAGCCCACAACTGTGTGAGCAGCATTAAAATCAAATATATGTTCCATTGTTTAAAATATCAGTGAGCAGGAGTTCTTTTTAGCAGAATTGCGTAAAGAGAATGGCTGCGAGAAAGGACAGGAAGTGGCAAGGAGGACTGGAAAACCAGGCAAAAGAATATTTGCCTTTGCAAATGTTACAAACTTACAAACATAGGCAAGCAGACAAATATTTTCATAGGCTGCCAAGTGAATAGTTTTGCTGGAATACTGACATGACTATAGTTATTACACAGCATGGTCACCAAAGGTACGTCTACACTAGTTCGTTAGTTCGAGCTAGGTAGGGTAATTAGGGCAAGCGGAGTTGCAAATGAAGCCCGGGATTTAAATATCCCGGGATTCATTTGCATGTTCCTGGGCGCCACCATTTTTAAATCCCCCTTAGTCCGAACTCCATGCTCGCGGCTACACGCAGCACTGAGTAGGTAGTTCGAATTAAAGATCCTAATTCGAACTACCATTACTCCTCATTCCATTGCATGAGGAGTAACGGTAGTTTGAATTAGGATCTTTAATTCGAACTACCTCCTCCATGCCGCGTGTAGCCATGGGCACGGAGTTTAGACTAAGGAGGATTTTAAAATGGCGGCACCCGGGAACATGCAAATGAAGCCTGGGATATTTAAATCCCGGGCTTCATTTGCAACTCCGCTTGCCCTCATTACCCTACCTAACTCGAACTAACGAGCTAGTGTAGACGTACCCCTACAGACTAATGTCTTTGCAAAGGTTATTATCCAATAATGCAAATGCAAGAACATTGTGGGAGGCAACCAGCAGCGAAGTACTGCTCAGGTAAGTGGCTAAAACACGGGCAGAATTAAGTGTTTCTGGCATGTTTCACACAAAATTTGGGAAGAGCCTTAAGAGCTTAAGGCCATATTAGGTACATTAGAAATGCACGAAAATAGCTAGTTCTTTTTTGCTGTGGCTTGTTTGCTGGCTTCTCCGTATTTCAAATATTTGAACTGGCTGGATCAGCAGTAGGTATTTTGAAACACTGAACAGGGGAACCAAACAGTGAAGCTATTGGCCCACCTCTGTGACAGTGTAGGCGAGTTTTGCTATCATTGGTGGAGCTGTTCCAAAAGCAGTTATTTCTGAAGAATGTAAAGTAGAATGCTGATTGGCTTGTGTTATGACCTCGTTCTGAGCCATCGTTTTCTAGACATTACTTCCTGTTTGGCCAAAATATCCATGAGACACAATAGATCCAGAGGGGTAGCCGAGTTAGTCTGTAAATGGAAAAACTTAAACAACAACAAATTGTCTTGCAGAAAATTAGAAACTAACAAAACATGTAGATAGTATCATGAGCTTTCATGGGCACAACCCACTTCCATTCATCTGAAGAAGTGAGCTTTGCCCATGAAAGCTCCTAAAGGTATGTCTACACTATCCTGCTAGTTCGTTCATAAGATTGGTTCTATATTAATGACTTTTATTTCTTTAAGTGCCTTTTTGATATTACACTTCAGCTTCCTTCAAAATGTATTTCTTCTATAGAAAGCTTATTGCGAATGCAGGCCAAAGTCCTGTGTGCTTCAGCAGCAGCCATGGGCATTGAAAGTTGTGCACTACAAACTACAGAGGGTTGGGAGACCTTTCTGGTTCCTGCCAGGCAGAGCCATGCTGTCCATAGCTCAAATGTGGGTGTCCACCACAAGGGCCCGCACTTTTGTGGGCCTCGCAGTGGCCACTCCAACTGTCCTATGGATGGGAGAGAAATGGGAGATTATGGGGCCCTGCTGCAGTGACAGCAGCAAGGGTCGGCACCCCCCATCTGGCAGCTTGCTCCACTCTGCCACGAGGGAGCCCAGCCCCCACGTGCCAGGCCCCCATAATCCCACAGGCAGTGTTGCTCAGGGAGGGAGGTAAAGGGAGGAACGAAGGCACAGGTTAGAAAGGAAAAGAGTGGAGCTTGTGGTGAGCAGTTTGCACTGAGTCCTTCACCTGGGGAATTAGTGGGGTTGCGCCAAGCCCCGGGCCCCCTCAGGACAGCCCTGCTGCCAGGATGTACCCTTTGCCCTCCCAGCAGGAAGTTTCAGCACTGACTGAAGTTGAGAGAAGAGGCAGACAAGGAGAGAAGAGGTTGCTGGACTGTAATCCTGTTCTGTGTTTCTTTGCAGAATAAAGTCTTGTTCCTTGTGGTATGTCTGTGTGGAGCAGCTCTGACAGGACTAGTGAGGTGAATACTGGCCCACAACTCAGTACATAAAGGAGCCCCAGGCCCAAAGTTGTGTAAAAAGTCACAAGGCAGGCCTCCCCCACCTCGAGCAGCCTCATACTGGGTCAATGACACATGAACAAGAGTATAAGCTACTACACAGTCTAGTGATGCTTTGAGGTGACACGAGGATTTGAGAGTATGACTCAATTCAATTTTCTTTCCTTCAAAACAATTTCAAATAGTATAAACAATGTATGTTAAATCCAGTAAATTGAGGACCTGGGCTAGCACATGTAGCACACCTGGGTAGCACTTCTGACTCCAATTTCACTTTAGATGCTATTGCTCTGATTTGGCTTTATTTTTTAATGTGCTGCATTTTGCTGAACATGACACACCTGTCTTCAGAGAAGCCATGTATTAGCTTGCTTTCCGGTGTGCACAAAGTAAAATGCTCTTTCCGCTATCTCAGGAGAATCTTGGCCTTTGTCTACATTTTGAAGTTTAAAATGCAGTCGTGGCAGTGCTTTAGTGCAGCAGTGTGGCTATAGCAGGAGCACTTTGAGAGAACTCTCCCCGTGCTCCAGGTAAGCCACCTCCCAGAAGGGGATAGCTAACTGCACTGGGAGAGCAACTCCCAGAGCTGGAGGCCCCTTTATACTGGTGCTTTACCCAGGGGCTGTGTCTAGACTGGCCAGTTTTTCCAGAAAATCAGTCGCTTTTCCGGAAAAACTTGCCAGCTGTCTACACTGGCCACTTGAATTTCCCCAAAAGCACTGACTTCATACTGTAAGAAATCAGGGCTTTTGGGGAAATACTATGCAGCTCCCGTTTGGGCAAAAGTCCTTTTTGCGCAAAACTTTTGCACAAAAGGGCCAGTGTAGACAGATGAGATTTGTTTTCTGCAAAATAGCCCCGATCGCGAAAATGGTGATCAGGGCTTTTTTGCGCAAAACCGCATCTAGATTGGCCATGGACGCTTTTCCACAAAAAGTGCTTTTGTGGAAAAGTGTCCATGCCAATCTAGACACTCTTTTCCAAAAATGCTTTTAACGGAAAACTTTTCCGTTAAAAGCATTTGCGGAAAATCATGCCAGTCTAGACGTAGCCAGGGTGTGTGTGTGTATTTTCACACCCATGAGCCAGTACGTTGCAGTGCAGTAAAGTAGCTGTGTAGACTTAGCCTTAGAACACATGGGATTAAAACTCAAGAAAAATCAACAGGCCCCATATAATGCAAGAAATAAAGTATTGTTTGATTAGCCCATTGAAATTGAAGCATAGGCAAATAGCGATGCCAGAACATTAATGACCCATATTAAAAATGTGAATCCCATTCCCATGCCTGCTGGACCTTCCAGGTAACTTCAGTGTGCACTGGGCCAGGCCCTTCAAGAGTAATAAAGAGGCTTGATCAAGTCAACTATAATTATCTTCCGACTAGCTTTGCAAGGTGACAGTCATTTTAGTTTACCCCATATATACTTGATCATAAGCCCGTTCGTTCATAAGACAACCCACCCCCAGTTAAAAATATAGTAAAAATTGCAATGACCCATTCATAAGATGATTCTATATTGGCAGTTTGCAAACTTCTGGTCCCAGCTCATCAGCATAAGGTGCTGGCAAGTCGGGATGTTTTGTTTACCTGGAGCGTTTACTGGCACAGAGCCTCTTAGCCCCCATTGGCCTCAATTCATTGTTCTCAGTCAATGGGAGCTGCGGGAAGCAGTGTTGGCTAAGGGATGTACTGGTCACCCTCTCATTGACCCAGACCAGTGAATAGCAGCCACTGGGAGATGAGACACTCCCTGCCTGCAGATGCTCCAGGTACATAAAATGTCCAGGCACACCTGTGGTTTGCCCTGCTGTGCTGGAAACTAAAGTTTGTCAAACCCTTTCCCTTCCCCCCCATTCCGCTGCCCAAGTTAAAAATAATTGGTAAATCACAATGACACATTCATAAACTAAATTCCTCTCTTTACTGCATCATTTTTTTATCCCCAAAATTAGGTTTATAATCGAGAATATACGTTTAAAAGCATATACCCCGTCATCTGAAGAAGTGGGCTGTGCCCACCAAAGCTCATGATACCATCTACATGTTTTGTTAGTCTATAAAGTGCTACTAGACTATATGCTATACACTTTTAGTAATTTCCTTTAGCAAGTAATAGTTTCAACATCTGGCCCTGTGCATGGCATGCCACCATATTGTGGGGCAGGGTTATTGCACTGTCTTCTTCTCATTCGTTGTCCTCCAGAGCATGCAGACCAGCTGGTCCAGCAACCCCACATTCCATTTATAGCAACATCTAGGGAAAACATGAAGAAAGAAAAGTGTATCACAAAGAAAAGTCTTTTCAAAGGGGATGCTCCCAGCATCACAAACCATATTGACATGCAAACAAAATACTCCGTGCTCACATTGCTAACAACGTCTTGGGTCACTAAGTTGGATAATTAAATATGCTAATTCAGTACCACTTGGACAATGAAAAGATACAAGGTAGTTTTAGTTGAAGTATAATGGTTTTACCTCTCCTGGCTGAGACTAAGAAGGAGCTGGATCACTTTACTTTCTGGGGGTATGTCTACACTAGAAAGTTAGTTCGAACTAGCGTTTTGCTAGTTCGAACTAGGCGTTAGTCCTCGTAAAATGAGGTTTTCCTAGTTCGAACTAAGCGCTCCGCTAGTTCGAATTTGAATCGAACTAGCGGAGCGCTTAGTTCGAACTAGCGTTTTGCTAGTTCGAACTAGGCGTTAGTCCTCGTAAAATGAGGTTTTCCTAGTTCGAACTAAGCGCTCCGCTAGTTCGAATTTGAATCGAACTAGCGGAGCGCTTAGTTCGAACTAGCGTTTTGCTAGTTCGAACTAGGCGTTAGTCCTCGTAAAATGAGGTTTTCCTAGTTCGAACTAAGCGCTCCGCTAGTTCGAATTTGAATCGAACTAGCGGAGCGCTTAGTTCGAACTAGCGTTTTGCTAGTTCGAACTAGGCGTTAGTCCTCGTAAAATGAGGTTTTCCTAGTTCGAACTAAGCGCTCCGCTAGTTCGAATTTGAATCGAACTAGCGGAGCGCTTAGTTCGAACTAGCGTTTTGCTAGTTCGAACTAGGCGTTAGTCCTCGTAAAATGAGGTTTTCCTAGTTCGAACTAAGCGCTCCGCTAGTTCGAATTTGAATCGAACTAGCGGAGCGCTTAGTTCGAACTAGCGTTTTGCTAGTTCGAACTAGGCGTTAGTCCTCGTAAAATGAGGTTTTCCTAGTTCGAACTAAGCGCTCCGCTAGTTCGAATTTGAATCGAACTAGCGGAGCGCTTAGTTCGAACTAGCGTTTTGCTAGTTCGAACTAGGCGTTAGTCCTCGTAAAATGAGGTTTTCCTAGTTCGAACTAAGCGCTCCGCTAGTTCGAATTTGAATCGAACTAGCGGAGCGCTTAGTTCGAACTAGCGCTGTAGTGTAGACGTACCCGGGGGTACCAGAGGAAGGGGCTAAGAAGGCTTATAGTAGCAGGAGTCCTACTTTAACTTACACCTTTCTGACAGTTATTTTTTCTGCTAGACCTCTTTTTTTCAAGGTGACCATGCGTCCCATTTTGGCTGGGACAGTCCCCTTTTTTAACCCCATCCTTGCCATCCTCTTTTTTCCCCCCTTCAAAAGGAGGCATTTCTCCCATTTGCTTTTGCTGACTTGATTAGTTAGCAGGAGCAAAATGGGAGAGACGAGCATCAGGAGAAATATGATCACCTCTTCCTGATCTGGACATGCAAGTAACACAACTTAAACTCCTTAGACTCAGTAAGCCAAATTCAATACAGCTAAAGTTCTATGCTGATAAGTGAATTTGAGTCCAATGGAGATTTTGCAGCTGTAACACATGCAGTAAGGAGACCAGAACGATGTGTAAGTGACAAATATTAAAAGACTCATAGGACTCACTTACTTATGAAGTTGTCCCTGTGCCCTGTGAAAATTTAGCTGAAAATGTAAATTGAAAACTGGAGAAATGTCCGTAAACAAAGGGCAATGATAAATGGTAATATATCAAATTAGAGGGTTGGGTTTACTGGCGCTCTGCTAGGATTGATGTAAAAACTAGTCTTATTTAACATCTAAATTAATGAACTGAAGGAAATAAATAGCTATTATGTTTGCCAATGATACTAAATTGGGAGGAGTTAGGAACTCTAGTCAGGAGAGAAATATTATACAAAGGAATCTAAGGACATTAACACCCAGGGTGGAAAATAACAAAATGAGATTTAATTGGAAAAAATTAAACTGTGCTGGAGTAGAGCTAAGGTAGAATAAGTGGAGAAGGGAGAAACTTGGAAGGGAGAAACTTGGGAAGCCTCTGAAATGGAGCAAGCTATAGTATATATCTATATATAAGGTAAGTAAATGATGGAGTTTCAGACATGATAAGGTTTAATGAGCACAATAGCTAGATCCATTTCATGAATGAGTAAGCAGAGACAGCTGAAATACAAAGCAACTCAATGAATGTGTGGCAGAACTAAAGTCAATGGCAAAACTCATCTGGACTTAAATGCTCCAGTCCCTAGGGGTACATCTACACAGCAGCATTATTATGGAAAAACTACCGTTATTCTGAAATAACATAGTGCATGTCTACACTACAAACCTTTATTTCAAAAAAATGTCTAGCTGGAGGACTTCTTGCTCGGACTCATGGTAATTCTCCTTTCACGAGGAGTAAGGGAAGTCAGAGGAAGAGAGTTCTTCCTTTAATTTCCTGCTGTGTAGACAGCTACACAGTTGACATAGCTGAAGTTGCTTAGCTTAATTCAACTTTAGCGTTGCTGTGTAGACGGACTCTAACAGTTCTGATTCCTAGCCCTATGCTTTAGCCACTAGACCACATAGTTCTTAATGATCGCATAAAAAGACCTAAGTAATTGACATACATAATCGTATGACTGACCGTTCTATTTCAACTCTCCTTTTAGTGTTCTTTATCTCTTTAACTTGGGATCCAAATTTCTTTAATCATCTTTCTAATCCCTCTTACCTTTTCTGTCTGTGATCTCACAGGCAACACCGTGATATCCTCCAGGACATATACATTCACAGCGAGTTTCTAGAAGGTTAATAGTGAAAGGTGGATTGCAGTACTTAGAAACATAGAATCTTAGGCTTGGAAGAGATCTCAGGAGGTCATCGAGTCCAACCCCCAGCTATAAAATCAAGACCAACCCCAACTAAATCTTCCCAGCCAGGGCTTTGTCAAACCAGGACTTAAAAACCTCTAGGAATGGAGACTCCACCAGTAACCCATTCCAGTGCTTCACCACCCTCACAGTGAAAGTTTTTCCTAATATCCAACCTAGACCTTCCCCACTGCAACTTGAAACCATTGCTCCTCATTCTATCATATGTCACCACTGAAAAAAAGCCTCTCTTCAGACCCCTCTTCGGGTATCTGAAGGCTGCTATCAAATCCCCCGTCACTCATCTGTAGATTAAATAAGCCCAAATCCCTCAGCCTCCTCCCATAAGTCAGTTGCTCCAGCCCCCTAATCGTTTTCATTGCCCTCCGCTGGACTCTCTCCAACATGTCCACATCCTTTCTGTAATGGGGGGTATGTGGGGAGGAGGGTAGAGAATTGGACGCAGTACTCCAGATGTGGCCTCACCAGTGCTGTATATTATTATACTGAACGTTTCTCTACAGACTCCTGTTTCTATACACAGACAGGCAAAGAGACTGCCTCTGGTGTAGAGACCTTCTTTTCTTTATATGCGTGTGCAACACCAAGAAGAACAGGGCCCACATCCCAGAATTCATTGTCTGACTACTGGTGACAATGGTCACTCGAAAACATTGTTCATGGCACATTATCCTACATGGAATGCCAACAGGACTCAAGGCCTAATACGTTATTTAAACAAGTGTAATCAGCAGAGGAATCAGTTAAGAGCTATAATCAAACTGGCTGGTACCTGAATCAATAATTTCTGTGCTAGATACATTTAGATGGTAACCAGATTCTCATCAGGACTTTTGCAGATGCAAATTTGAATTAGGCACTTGAAAAATATCTTCTTTTATTAGCAAAACCTACACACCATATATCTCCATTTAGAAAATGGGCTTTTTATTCAATTTAATTACTTTCCTCCAGCATTTTTAAATCATTGTCAGCTTCAAAATTAGGGCCTCGTCAGTTAAAAATGGAGGGAAAGAAAAGATACAACACTGAACATCTCTGATGATGATGATGATGATAACAGTACTTAGCACTTATATGGTGCTTTTCATCTTCACAACACTTTCACAACACTAATTAATGCTGAGACATTAGGACGATGGTAACACTCTCAAAAGCAAAGAAACAGACAAAGACATGAACTTTTCTTTTAATGAATAATTGAGGTGGGAACTGTTTCTTAAATGTAACTGATAAAGATACTTGCTAAAATGGTGTTAACTTGCTACTGCTGCAACTAAACAATGGAAATTTATGAATGAAATTATTTTTCTTAATATATTTTCTTTATAATGTAGCTAACCAGGATGAATAGGAGAAAGGAATGAACACAGATTACCAGCCAGTTAAGCCTCCTACCTATGCTCTGGTCTACACTGAGGAGTTATTTTGAAATAACTCCCCTTATTTTGAAATAATAATTGGAGCATCCAAACTACCAAGTCCTTTATTTCAAAATAAGGGGCTGATTATTTCAAAATAATAACTCCTGCTTTCCACAAGGAATAACGCTTATTTCGAAACGGTTATTTTGAAATAGTGGCAGTGTGGACACTCCACTGCTGCTGTTTTGAAATAACTACCCCCAGAGTCATTCAGATTAATTACTCCTCAGTGATTTCTGGGGCTCTAAGTCAAGGTAGCATGTTCACATTAAGGGAGCCTGCCTCAGATTAATTTTGAGGCTTCCCTGTAGTGTCGACAGGCTATTTTGAAATAGTTGCATCAGGAGTTATTATTTTAAAATAAGTTATTTTGAAATAATTTCCTAGTGTAGACACTATGACTCCTCTGTTCACACTACAGAAGTATTAAACGTGAGAGTCTACCTTTCAGAAAGGCAATTCCATTGCCTTGGCATGGAGCACACTGACAGGAACTGGACTCCAGCTGGAACTCTTCAAGGGCACGCTTCATATTTTCCCTTAGTGTATTTGCATGTCCAAAGTCTGTTGCAGTCACCAGTTCAGTCAGGGGTTCTACCTAAGCGAGGTGGGGTGGGAAGAGAGGAAGAAACCACTGTGTTAATTCCTAAGGTCAAGATGTTTTCAGACAGTCAGCCCTGCACTGCAACCTATGGTGTGTGGGACCTCAGCTTTGGAACAAAATGTAGACCTTGTGTTTTGAGATTTGTGATCTGTGGGGATGTCAATAAAAGCTTTCAAAATGGGAATGTATTAGTCATCAATGGAACAGACTAAATATTCTCTCCATCAGCTCCAGCTTTCCAGTTGACTTGTGCTTCGGGCTGGTGAAAAAAGAGAGCAGCAATTTAATGAAAACGCTTTCATTCACCCCTCTCTTCCAGTTCAAAAGTTTGACCAGCTATAGAGTTGTCTGAAAACTGGGGGGGAGGGAAATTTCACAAAAGTTTCAACAAACATTTTCTGATTTTGAAATTTCACGAAAATTCATTAAAAATTGGAAAAAAGACCCCAACATCTGAATCAACACTACTTAGATTGACTCCTCGCTTGCTCCTCTGTTGGGTTGGGTTGCCACCAATTTGGGTTTTATCTGACAGTCTGGATTTGGCTTCTGAGTGCAGGTGCCATGTAGGCTTGCTCAGTGTCTAGTTTTTCACCAGAAAGTCTGGTTGAAGAGGGGTCCTGGCAGTGTCTGGTCAGACGAACTGACTGAACGTTCAGATACCACAGGGCAGGGGGATGCACCTGGTCATTACCCCAAGCCAGCCCCTGGTCAGCCTGGGCCTCTCCTACACGCAGGCAACCTCCTTATTAGGCTGCAGCAATAATGAATTAGCCTGGGTCTCTCCTACACGCAGGCAGCCTCCTTATTAGGCTGCAGCAATAATGAGCCTCGCTGAGTTGCTGGAGGGAGCACTCTATGGGCGGTGGGGGCTTGAAGGAAGAGGTGGCGGGGCCTGGAGAGAAGAGGCAGGGCAAGGGCACAGTCTCGGGGGCCTGGTTACCAGCAATTAGAAAGGTGGCCACCCTACCTTTAGGGCTGAAAACCTGCCCAGGATGCATTGTTTCTACAGTACAATGACTATGTTCATGCACTGCCCTTGTACAGATAGATTTTTAATTGCAGCACAATCACTGCTGCATGTGCAGCCTGATTACTCAATGAAATGTTCCCATTACCACCAAATGTGGGTTACTCTACACTGACTGCACGCTTCTTTCAGCCATGTTTAGTGAACATACCCACGCAGCCCCAAATGCACGGGTACAAATAGCGGTGAATAGGGCGGCACAGCTTAGCGCAATAAAGATGGACTTGAAGGGTGAGTATGTACTTGAGTACATCCCCAAGCCAACCCCTCTCTACACTATCGCCTCTAGCTGCATAGCATTCTGCTGCCTCCCCTCAGTGGGAATCTTTTCCTGGAAAAGATTCCAGCTCCTTGTTGCTGGAGCCTTTCCCCACCACAAGGGAAGTTTCTGGCAGAAGGGAAAGTCTTCCCCTTGCCACAGCCTATCCTCACTTGGGCAAAATGCTCCAGAAAAGGGGAGCTGCTGAAGTCTTTCCCTGCTGCCTTACTGTGGCCAGAGCCACACACACCACAGTGTGGACACACTGCACTTTTCACTGCAGCATGTAGTGAGACATCTGCTACCTGCTTCCACGTGTGCAGTGTAGGACAATTGTGATCTAAGTCTAAAGCTCCCCACCCAAGTATCTGGAAGACCTGACCTATCATCTAGCACCATTTTCTTCCCATCAGCTCTGCAGAGAGAAAGAGCTGGACTTTCCTCTCTTTTGTGCATCCTTCACAGAATAATTACATGAAGTTCCTGCTGCAGGGACAAATTCTGCCGTCCATTACAGTTCTGCACCTCCACAAGTACAGAGGACATGCACAGGTGTAAGTGAGGGCACGCACTGAATATCATAAGGTTGCTGAGGGTAGAATTTGGTACTGAGTAGAACCTGGTGTAACGGAGAGTAGGATTTGCCCCACAGATTGTTCATGGAAGATGATAACACAGTGACCAGTAAGAATAAAGTCTGAGGATTCCTTAGCTAAATTTGCATGGCTGGTCAATAGAATAAAAGGACCAGCTCCTCAGTTTGCAACACTTGAGAATCCAGCCCAAATTCATTATTGTAAGCTGAGCAAATTTGCTATGCAGGCCATAAGGACACAGTGAACATGAGGCCCCACAATATCATGTGTATAGGTTCATGTCAATTCAAAAGCCAAATGCATTTTAAGGAGAAATGTATTTTCATGTTACTGCCACAGTATCTTCATTTCTCAACAATGAGCTGTGATCCATCTTTTACTTCTTGAATTTGTATCATACAAATAAGGAAATGGCTTGAGAATAACCTGCCAAGTGCCTTTAGTAGATAATTTATGAGCTGCTTTCCTTTATTTTTCCCCACTGAAGCATTTTTAGGACTGGTATTTAGTTGCACACTACTGGTGCTTTTGATCTTCATACTACTCAAGGATATTAAGCAGGGAAATTAAAGGTTATATATGCCAAATCCAAATTGTATCAATACGTGGTTTCTATTGGTTGATCTAGTCACTGATACCAGAATCTAAAAGGCTAGAAAAAAAACAAGCCTCAGTTTCAGAATTTTATTCAAATGGGATACTAAGTGTGACTTTCACAAGTACAGACACTGACATCTCTGGGACTCAATGCAATTAAGAAACCATGGGTAGGTTACCTGAAACAGTTGATTTTATATCCTCCTTTAAACCTGCAGTGAGTTCTAGTTAACAAAGAAACACATGATATTGTCCAAGCAGAAGAGCTGAAGGTCAGAAGAATCGAGCGGATTGAGGGAAAGCTCAAAACATGGATATTATGTGACATTTTTATTACAAAAAGTGGGGGGGAAAACCCAATATAATCAGTGCCAAGCCAGAGCAAGCTATGAGGCCCTGGAAAAATAAACACCTATCTGAGCATGGATGCGTAGATTGCCAAAGTATCAAGAGCATATCTACTAGAGATAAAATAAACACTAGCTATGGACACAACCCAAAGAATTTTATCTGGATCCAGACTTCAAATAAACACCCCCAAGGTCCAGTGGGTTTGAATCAGGGCTTTTGGGTTCAGATTACAGTAGATTCAAAAATGGCTTTTCTAATGAAAAGAGAAAAGAACACATTTCCACCAAAATGTTCCACAGAAAATTTAGACATTTTGGTGAAAAGTTTCCATCAAAACCCAAACGTTTTGGTCTGGAATTATTGCCATATTGCAGCTGCCATGTGCCCTAATTCTCCGACCTGACCCAAGCTCTCTGGTTGCACTCCATGTCCCATGATGCACTATGGTGCCTCTTATTGCTGAGTCATCGGTCATCCTATTGCTGAGTCATGGGGAGTCCCTAGCTGCAGTGCCTGATGGGAGATGTAGTCTGTCCAAGGGAATCAGGCCTACAGAGGAATATGAGGCACCTGAGCTACAAATCCAATGATGCACTGGGAGGGAGGGAAATTATTCCAAATCAAAATATATCTTTTGGGATACGAGTGTTTAGTTTTCTGACAAAAAGGTTTTTTTTGGACACTTTCCCCACAAACATTAATTTAACCCAAACCCAATTTTCCATTGAAGAGGAATTCAACAAAAAACAGCCCTAGTGCAGGGCCATACAAAAAAAGAATATTCTTCTGCCTTCACTATAGTCAGCCAAACATTAAGGCTACGTCTACATTGGCAAGATTTTGCTCAAATTCTTTTAACGCAAGAGTTTTTGCATTAAAGTATTTGCACAAGAGAGCGTCTACACTGGCATGTGCTTTTGCACAAGAGATGTGCTTTTGAGCAAAAGCATCCATGCCAGTGTAGACACTCTCTTGCGCAAGAAAGCTCCAATGGCCATTTTAGCCATTGGGCTTTCTTGCACAAGAAATTCATGTTGCCTGTCTACACTGGCCTCTTGCACAAGAACAGTTGCGCAAGAGAGCTTATCTCTGAGCGGAAGCATCATCGTTCTTGCGCAAGAAGAACTGATTTCACACGTTAGAACGTCAGTGTTCTTGTGCAAGAACTCCTCCCCAGTGTAGACAGGCAGCATGTTTTTGCGCAAAAGCTTTTGTGCAAAATCTTGCCAATGTAGACGTAGCCTAAATGAGCTAATTGTGACATTAAAAATGATGAGGCTCTATTGATATTTTCCCCTTATTTTTCACTTTCATGCTCCTCTACATACAACACCCGGCCAAGACTGAAAAAGGAAAACTTGGTAAAAATCTATGCTCATGAGCTTTAGATAGTCTAAACAAAGAGGCAGATTTCTTGCTGTTCTGAACCAAACAGAATTGCTACTACACAGTAGAGATGTAACAGTGCAGTTGATTAACTGATTAACTGATAAGCAAAAGCTTATAGGTCAACGCGATAGACGACATGCATTTCCCTCTACGCCTTACCAGTAAATTTTTTAACAGGCTGGCCAGCAGCCCAGCTCAGTCCTGGCTTGCACTGGATCCTGGACCTACCCTGTCAGGCGGGCAGGCAGCCCGGCTCAGCTCCAGCTCATGCTGGGACTGGGAGCTCAGACCCCTCCCTCCCAGACAGGGGCTGCCAGGGGACGATAGAATAATCGACTAAGCGATAAGAATTCATGAGGTTAATCGACTATTCAATTAACGATATTTTACATCCCTACTACACAGTGCATGGTAAATATGGAAAGGAAGAGTAATCCAGAAAAAAGGAAGGTCGTTGGGATTTGAGTGTTCATTTTTTTTTTACAAAAAAGTTATTTTTCTGTGACAAAACAGACACTTTCCCCCAAAATAGGAAGGTCCCTGATTATTCAGAACCTCTGATCTGAATGTATGCAAGGAGGAGAATGGTCCCACTGTTGAAGGGAACTTTCCTGGCTTCCACACCATCCCAGTGAAATTGGCTAGTGAAAAGCCCTGAAGCCCCACCCCCACTTATTTTACCCAGAGGCCTCCCTGACCTCTTGGTTTCTCTTCCCACTCTCCTGTGTGTCAAAGTCTTTGTAATGCCAACAAGGCTGGGCTGTGTCTCTGGCTCTGCTGTGCAGCTCAGCGTGGGCCCCTTCTCTCTTCTTAGCTCAGCCAAACGCTGTCTGACCCAGACAATTCCAGCTCTCACGGATGATGGAGGACAGGACCACTGGCCTCCTGATCCCCTTGTTAGCCTGCCTGCCCTGTCAATCAGGCTGACCTGAAGTGTTTTCCCATTGCTCCCGGGGACCTGATTTCTCATTGAGCCTTCCCGTTTCTTTTGGTACAGAGAGGTAGCCAACCAGTGACTCGCAACTAAGTTTTAGTCAATCATCTCCATGTTTTCCAAGTCTCCTATGGCACTTGACTAATTGAGGTTCTATAGTGTATTATTTACAATACCTTAATCTTGATGATTTCAGGGTTGTACTGCACTGCATCTCCCCACTCTTGCATTAGCTGAGCAGTTGGCAGATCTTTGTAGGCAAGTGTCGTGATGTGTTCACTCCCTCCTCCACGAACAAGGGCTATGAAATCTTCCACAACTTTCTTTTGTTTGATGCTGTCTGCAACCATGGATAAAGGAAGCAGCTCAGCTTAGCTACTTCTTAGTGGGCCACAAATAAAATAGAAAGCCAGGCGCAAAGCTGACTCCGCCAGTTACATATCCCATTTAGAAAGGAAATGAGAACGGTCACAATTATTTATATGCAGCCAAATATCTGGCACGCACTACTCCCTCCATTGCAAAGGGAGAAGGTAGTGACTGCAAAGGGAGTGGTGCTTGAGTGAAGATTTAAAGATTAGGCTCATGGTTTTTCCTTGGACATTACTGTAAATGAAACAAACAAACAATAGATTCTCGCACAGATTTTAAAGGAAGGAGGGAGCAGGGGTTTTCAATGTTTTTTTCATGACCCGGTTAAAGAAAATTGTTGATGCCCATGACCCAACATGAATTTTCCCAAAATTTCCCCCAGCTGGAGCCCTATACTAGAGTGTGGGCTCCAGTATAGGAGTGAGGAGCTTTGGGGTATAGGCAGGGGCTCTGACTTTGGGGGAGACATGGCTGGGGTAGGAAGGGCTTACCTTGAGCAACTCCTGGTCAGTGGTGCAACAGGAGTGCTAAGGCAGCTTCCTGCCTCTCCTGGCACTACAGACCATGCTATGCCTCAGATGCAGCCAGCAGCAGGTTCCCAGCCAATGGGAGTGCAGAGCTAGTGCTCAAGGCAGGAACAGTGCATGCAGCCCTGTTTGCTCCCCCCCACCTCCCTACTTAGGAACCAGGCCTGCTGCTGGCCACTTCCGGGCAACAGCACAGTGTGTACTGCCAGAACAGGCAGGTAGTCTGCATGAGCACTTGCACTGGCCACCTGATCACCCTGCAGCAATGAGACCCAGTGCCTGACATTCCATGATCCTGTGCCAGGTCACAACCCATAGTTTGAAAACAACTGAACTAGGTCACTTAGTCATAGGTGAAAGAATAATAAATCAGCTTCCCCTTATTGTAGCAATCATTGAAAAGCAGCAGAAACTACAACTAGTGCAAGGTGCAGCACTTCCTCTTCCTTGCATAAAAAGTATGGCTTGATTCTACTTTAAGGCTGCGTCTACACTGGCATGATTTTGCGCAAATACTTTTAACGGAAACGTTTTTCCATTAAAAGTATTTTCGCAAAAGAGCATCTACACTGGCATGTATGCTTTTGCGCAAAAGACATCTTTTGCGCAAAAGCATCCATGCCAGTGTAGACATTCTCTTGTGCAAGAAAGCTCTGATGGCCATTTTAGCCATCGGGCTTTCTTGCGCAAGAAATTAACATGGCCGTCTACAGTGGCCCTCTTGCGCAAGAATACTTGTGTAGGACAGCTTATCCCTGAGCGTGAGTATCAGAGTATTTGCTCAAGAAGCACTGATTTTGTACAGTACAAAGTCAGTGTTCTTGCGCAAATGCTCGCAGCCAGTGTAGACAGGTGGCAAGTTTTTGTGCAAAAACGGATGCTTTTGCACAAAATCTTTCCAGTCTAGACATACCCTAAGGGTAAAATTCACATGTAATGGTTCAAAATCAAACTCCATAAAAGAAAGCCCATTTCCTGTGTACAGATCTATTTTGCTCCTGAAATGGAGCATAGATTGCTCTAACACAAAAAAAGGAAACACAAAGCACAAGACTATATTATGTTTACCTCCAATTTCCTTTAAAACGGCGTTACAACCAGCAACAGACATTCCCAAACTTATATAAACTCCATAGATATTTGCACCAACTTTAAATCCATGATTGACACAGGACTGGATATCACTTAAAGAGTAACCTAAAAACACAGTAAAACATCACATATGGACAAAAACAACACTCAACTGTGAGCACTTTATGCTGATGGGTTTGCCCCTGTGACGGGGCATATCTACCCCACACTGAAGGACAGAGAGTTGGGTATAAAAGCTTAGGGAGCCACTCTGTTGGGCGGGCCAGGGAAGGAGCTTGGGCCAGAGCTCTCGAGTTATTCACTCAGTCATTCCTGCAGCAGCCACTCAGGGAGCAGCCCCAGCAGGCGCCCAGGGAGCAGTGCCCACAGCCGCCCCCGCCAGCAGCTGCCCAAGGAGCAGCACCAGCAGCCACCTCTAAAGCCCCAAAGACAGCCGGGGCTGTCCCTAAGGGGAGCCCCTCACAGGGGTTCAACGGACTGAACAACCCACAGAGAGTGGTAGGAAGTAGCCAGGGCAGAGGATTAGCCTCCGGGGAACTCGGTGCATATTGGCAGGAAACCCCGCTGAACAGGCAGCAGAACTTGCCTCTGCCTACAGGTCCCTGGACTGGGATCCGGTGGAGCAGGAGGGCCCAGGTCCCCCTACCTCTCCTACCTCTGCTCCTCCCCCAAACAGGCAGCTCCCTAGCCTTTGGATGGTTTACCTGGTGACCAGGCCTCAAAGCCATAAATACCCTGATAGAGGGACCTGTACTTTTGATTAAGGCCTTAAGTACCCTGATAGAGGGACCCATACCCTTGACTAGGCCTTCAAGCCATATAAACCCTGGGAGAGGGGCACTAGTTAAATTGAACCTGAGGGTTGTGTTGACCCTAGTGAAAAGGAACTTACAGCAGACGTTGGGGACTTTCTGTACCGTCAAGGGGGCGTGCCTCTCAACAGCCCCCCACAGAGAATTTTTAGGGCCCAATCCTGTTCTAAAAATGGATCTGGTGCCCTCACCTTTTAGCCCTCAGTGACTTTCATAGAACTGAGTGCTCTCAGGATCAGGCTTTTAGTAAAGAAAAAAGTTCCTCTCAATTTCAAGAGCTTATATGTTTGTGCGTATGGGGTACCTCAAATATCATGGAATTGCTGACACTGAGGAAGTGGCACATGACAAATCATCACAACATAACGATATGGTTATCTCTTTTCACCCAAACCCTGCCACAAGTTATACATTTGCAAATTAATGACTAAGAGTCCAATCCTGCAAACATTTGCCACTGAACATAGTGCTTACCACACGGAGTGATTTAAATGTGACTATTTAGGGCTGTGAACTGTGCATTCAGCAGCAAAGTTGTGGAATTTGTCCCTAAATATGTTAACAGTTAAGGTCCCAATTTGGAAATGTACTTAATCATATGACTTACTTTATGCACATTGTTAGTCCCATTGAAATTAGACATGTGCTTTAGTATCTAGCTGAACTGGGGCCTTAACAAGCACAGACCATGCACTCCCTTTCACTTCACCAACAACAGCAATACAGCTTGCAATCACATTTGACAGGTATTCACTTTCCTTCAGGGAATAAAACTAGCATTAAATTAGTGCCCCTGGACTCAATAAAAAGGGTTTATCATAATTAAATTGACTATTCCACTTATCAAACTGGCAAAAAGATTTCAGCTTTAAAATCTAACTGGCATTGTGGCAAATCCATCGAATTGATCCTCCATTCATACTTACATTGCCTATTTCTTTAATTCAAGGACTGTCTTTTGCTATGTTTAAGTGCAGTGCCTAATCCCATGGGAACTGAAGCTTCTAGACACTATTGTGATGCCAGCAATAAACAGTAATTGTAATACACTGGTGTTTAGATGTGAGCTACAGCTAGAGAAAATATATAGCTTGAAATGGACCCAAAACAAAAACTTAGATCTTGAATAACACAGAAATTTTGAATACCTGAAATCCAGATACAAGTTCTGCCCTTCTGATAGGGATATGAAAATAGTTTAAAATACTGTGTAATTGATTTTGTTACATGGTTAAATGGGCGCCGTGGGCACCCAGCACTGCCGGTCCCAGGCTGCTGGCCTCGTAGGAATTTAACCGGTAACTGGAACCAATAAGCATACGCTTATCAGTTAACCGATTAAACTCTTACAACCCTACTCTTTGGCTCAAGTGTAAATATAGCATTAACTGCTCCACAGAAGAGCAAACAGAGAGTGGACACTGCTGTGTACCACAAAAAGTATTTTTTCAAGTAGGCACTGAAAGCAGTGACTCAACCTCTCATGCCAATGGATAGACAAAAGAAAGCTTCTATTGATCATTATCCCATATCTCGTTCTACGCAACATAGGCTAATCCTTGTAAAGGAGCAGAGTCAAACAGCCAGAGCAGCTTCAGGCAGAACATTCACCCAGAAAATGATTCACTGTTTCCTAGATTCCTGCCCCATGGAAAAGTTTTGGAGGCTGCAGGAGTTATACCCCTGTCATTTGTAAAGCTCTGAGAAAAAGAACACGAGTTTTGGCTTTCAACTCCAATAGAGGTTTAACTACGTAATTCTTCTTCATTGTAATGTCTAGTCAGCTTTGGAAAGATCAACTACAGGGCCTGGTATAGTAAAGCAATAAAACCCAGCTGCCCTAGCTGAAGTTGATGACCGTGGAGGGTGCTCAACACTATTTGAATATTAGGCTCTTGGTTTACATATGGAAGGGGAGAGCATTATCTTAGTATTTCTATGGGTTTACATAGGAGTAATGCTGCAGACTTCAGCGCTCCCTCCCCACCTCAGCCTCATATCACCTCAGGCTTACCCTTCTTTATCCACAGAGCCTAATCTCACTGGGGGGCCAACAGACTTGCCAGACCCTTTGGGAAGGTGTGTGTGTATGGTGGGGGGACTCTGCACTTCTGGAAGGGATGGGGTGTTGGGCATAAAGGGTGGTGTTGGGGCAGCCAGCCCTCAGCACTGCCTAGAGAGCACTGCATTGCCTCCCCACCCCTGCAACGCTCAATGCCACCTGGAGTGTGCCATGCAGGGCTCCAATGGCTATTTAAAGGGCCTGCCATGGTAGCAGCAGTAGCCCGGAGACCCAGGCCCTTTTGAATTGCTGAGCCTCGGGACAGTTGTCCCCTTTGCCCCTCCCCCCTCGGTGGTCCTGATCCCCACAGAGCCGTGTCTGGAGGATCAGGTCAGAATAATGCTGCAGAGATAACAATTGTTTCCTAGATAGAAGTGTGTGTGGGAGCAAAAGTAATAGATCTGACCCCAAAACTTTAAAAACTGGTCTTTCATTAAATGATCTACAGTATTGGATACACATACCTTCCTTTTGGAGTTCGTCACTGTTCACAATCAAAGTATATTCATAGATGCCGCCAAGAGTAGCTTCCGTGATGTAATGCGTCCCATAATCTCTGTAGAGTTCTCTGTATTCACCATAGCTGTACTCTAAAGGCAGCTGATGGAGTCTCTGCAGGAACTCATAATGGAGCATCAGAGTCCGAGGCTTTAGTTTGTAACGGGCAACATCCAGCTCTGAACGGGCATGGATAAATTTGCTGGACTACATGAAATGTAGACACAGAACAGCATCCAAGTGAAATGAGGTACATGATGCTCCATGAAGTGTATGTTACCTCACTAAGTGTTATATATACTTTATGTGCATTGTATACACGGATGTTCCTGGATGCTATTAAACAGCATACACAAATCCATATACTCTGCATAGACCTTCTGTTATAAAATGTGGCTCTATCAAAACTTAAAGTAAAAGGAGAAATTGTACACAATGGAACCAAAGACATTCCCTCAAACAAACTATTGTCCAACACAAAGTACAGCACATCGTTCCCCCTTTTGGGGCAAAAACCTGGGTAATAAAACAGACCTTCCACTATGCCCTAAAGGCATCCAGGCTCAGGTTTGTTTGGGACAACAGGTAAATACTTCCAAGAGTTGAGGATCTTTCTAGTGAAAAAGCCCTCCAATCAAATCTAGGCCCATTATTGGGCCCAAAGGAGGACCCAGTGGGTGGAATTCGGTGGTCTGTTTTATAGAAGTCAGATTAGATTATTATAGTGGGCCCCTCTGTCCTCAAAAATCAATGAATGTGTGAGAGTTACCTCAGATCCTCCTTCTCTCTCTCACGGGTGGCTACTGCAAGAACTTCTTGCTGATGAGCATCACCAGAGCAATCTTCTCCTTTTCCTGATCGAAGGAGCTCTATTTGGGGTTTTTGCCATGCACTGTCCAGGCAAGTCCAAGCTACAGGGACACTATTCTGCTCCTGAGTGTACAGGGCACTGAGGACATGGGCATATAACACCAGTTCCAACTAAACGGCCCACTTGAAGCAGGTCTGGTTTATGACAGCGGAAGGTTAAGAAGAAACCAAATGCTGCCCCAGAGTGAATGTGATGTCATGGCAGGAGAAGGGGATAAATTAAAGCTCCTCCAGATGGCTTGGACTGCATACCTAGTCACAGAAATAATTGAATCTTTGAGGACAAGATTGAAAATATAAGCTTCATGATGAAATACCCTGCCAGTAATTCTGTGCTATGTGTCTTGAGTTCTGTAGGTATCTACCAATGTGAACTGGCATGTGCTATTCTAGAATGAAACCAATGAAGACCTGCTAGCAGTTTTCATTCTTTATTAGCCTCATGGCTACTCTACAGTTGCCTAGGTAGGATTCTTTGTTTGCACTGTCACTTATTGCAGTGACAGCACCTGTCTTGTTTAATACAAGCATGACTTTCCCTATGCACGCTGACATCTTGCTGGGCTTCCAAGGTCGGTAGACACCGACATCTTGTTTAATGCAAGCATGACTTTCCCTATGCACGCTTACATCTTGATGGGCTTCCAAGGTCGGTAGACACCGACTACGCAAACTGTTCTGTTAATTCATAAACACATAAAATCTGATACCTGAAAAATCCCTTCTAGCCCAAAGGAAGAGAATGTTTTTATTGAGGAATTCACTTGCTTTTCAATGGAATTCAATGGATTATTCATGTTATTCATGTATTTTTTCCCTACCCATCTTTCACGACATTTTTATTTCCTTCACTACCATTGCTATTTATGGTGGTGCTTGGCATATCAAGCATGTTATTTTTGTTCATGGTCTCTTGCCCCAAGGTGGGTGCTATATTACCAAATTAACAGGGATTTTAATGTAATTTAGGATATCTCTACATAACTCCCTTTAGGGTATGTCTAGACTACACGTGCTTTTTAAAAATAAAACTATGCAAAATTTGTATAACTTTTTTCAATCCTTCTGTCGGAAGAGGTTTTCCACTAAAAAAAGTGGAAGAACAAACGTGTCCCTGGACATGGAAGGGTTTTTCTGTGATACCTCTGGTATCCCGGAAAAACTCTTGTGGTGTAGCCGTACCCTTATTTTGAAATAACAAGGTAAGCATCCACACTACCAAACCTGTTATTTCAAAATAATAATTCCTTCTTATGAAGAGGTATCAGCTTATTTTGAAAGGAAATAACCTGATAGTGTAGACATAGTCCCACAGTTACTATGATCAGTGCCTGATATGAGCCATATGTCAGCCTTTTTAATGGCAGGAATGTCAATTTTAATATGTACTATATCACCTGTGCTCATATAGGGGCTGCTTTGCTTCAGTAGGTCCCCTACATGAGATTGTTCTCATATCAACAGATGTGCACTTCCCTTTGTGTTTAAAGAGCCAATTTGGATTTGTTCCTCTCTCTCTCTCTCTCTCTCTCTCTCTCTCTGTCTCCCTTTTTTTTTTTTTTTCAGGTGAGACTATTAGGAAGACCATCAACAGCTCTAAATTGGTGTAGTTCTACTGATTTCCTTGCAGCTATACTCCAAAAGCAGACGATCTAGCTCTATGGTTTTTATACATACATACATAGTAAATCTTGAGAGTCAGAGCATGCTTTGGATGGCAGTACACGGTATTACCTGCCTCTGTCTCTGCTGTCTTGTGGATTAGCCCAGGAGTGTGTAAGGCTAAGAGAGTAAACCCTGACAGAAAATCCAGAGTAGAACCCCAATGGTGGTTGACAGTGAGGTTTAATAAACAGTGTTCTGGCAACTCTTGCTTTAGATGTGGAGGCTCCTGAAGTTTGCTTGCACAGTCAAGAGGGGGAGTGTGGTTCTGGGCAAGCCATGCTTGCCATATTTTTCTCTGCCTAAGCACTTTCAACAAGTACTCCATCTATGTCACCAATGCAGAGGGCTCTCCATCTTGCTGCTCACTCCAGCAAGAAAACCACATGGGAAGTTGCAGTTTACCAGGTGATCACTACTAAACTAAGCACAGCTTTAAGTAGAAAGTTACTTACAGTTGCAGAAAATTTTTTCGTCCTTTGAACAAACTTCTTGAACCTGTTGTCATTATTATTGTAACCAAGTTCAAACAGTCCTGGTATCTTTATTCCAATGCTGAAGCTACTCTGTGAAGCTTTTGCCCTCAAGACATTTTCTTCAAAACTTGAATAAGATTCATATTCAGTCAATGTAAATTCATATTTGCCTTTGGTCTAAACAAAAAGCAAAAGCAACACACTTTATTTCTTGTATTCTGATTACATACCTGAAACAGGAGGTAGACATATTGATAGTCTTGCAATAAACATACTTTTGAATTAGTGCTTGCGCTTTGAAGATGAAAAGCCTGGTATAATTGCTAATCATTATTATTATTACTACTACAATACCAGTTGATTTGCAGCACAGGTTAATAACATGCAGATGAGAGCTACAATCTCCTCTGTATTGCAATTGCCTACATCTTACTAGTCAATCTTATGCAAAATGTGTGAAATCGTATGCATAAAAGTCCATGAAAGTTTAAACAAGTTTTAAATTGTGAAAGGAACAAAGCTTGCTTAATAGGTGTCACGTATCAAATCATACCAGACAACACGTACCATTAACTTCCATGGGCTTTTAATCAGGCTCCATATGTGATGCCCATTAAAGGTGAGTGACAAATATGGAAAATACTTGCGTGCCTATAATTTCACACAGTTCATGCGAGGTATTTGTAAACAATAACACTTATTTGCAATTCTGTAGCCTTCTATAAGCATATGACTCCCCGCCCACATAGCCCTGTTATCTGGGTATAGAGCAGCAGGCTCTCATCCTTTAGTGCCCTGGCTGATAGCCATGCCATTAGCCCTGTAGTGGTCAGCTTCTCCTTGCAACTCAGCCAAGTCACATAGGGTCCCAGCCCATCCGGGGTAAATCTGTAACAGTCCAGCCAATAATAGTCCAGCAACACCCTGCTGATCTATCTGTCTGAGTCTGGACTCACCTGTCCTAATCCCTGGTATATGGGCAGCTTCAATATCCCTTACAACTTGCTGGGTGGGTTTCTGCTCCACCTTTCCTGGTGAGGTGGTAGGGGAACCCAATGCCCTCCTACTTCCCTGGTTTTCAGTCCAGGGACTCTTGAACAGGAAGTCAAGGTCTCACTACACAGACCCCTGGCAGCCTCCCTGGACCACCTTCTACCTTACCTAATCTGCAGCCTCTTTCCTGGCAGCCAGGAATGTATGTATCAGCACCACTCTCTTTAGCACTACAGCTACACTACTGCAGAAAGTCAACTTAAGCGACGCAACTCCAGCTATATGAATAACAGAGCTGGAGTCAACGTACGTTAGGGAGAGTTACTGGGGTCTATATGGTGGGAGGGGGGGTCAGCTCTCCCATTGATTTCCTTACTCTTCTCATCTGTTGTAGAGTAGAGGGATCAACTGCAGAATGATCTACAGTCGATTTGGCAGGTCTTAACTAGGCCTGCTAAATAGACTGCCAGTGGATCGATCTCAGAGTGTTGATCTGGACTGTAGTATACACATAGGCTAAGTCTCTTCCACAATCTCCTGCTCATTTCTTAGCATCTGGTTCAGCTGCAGAAGAGATTTTCTCAGTTCCCGTGGCAGGACAGTCCTCCTCCCTGCAGATCTCTCAACCAGTAGATCAAATCCTGGGATGGACTCACCAACTCAACAACCACACTCCAGCCAGGCTTCTCTCTACTTTCCTTCCTGGTGTCCCTTAAGTGAGCCAGGTTCAGCCCTTTTAGCCCCTCCTTCCTCCTTTGACAGCTCCTACAGGTGTTGCAGTGCAAGACTGATTGCACCCTTGATTCTCATTAACTCCTGCAGGCCCAGGGTAGGGTTCGTACACTCCATCAAACCTCCTTTCTATGGGAAGGTTTCAAGGTCTTTTACAAATCTTTTAAAAAACACACAATTCCCATTGGATGTGAGTGTTTTTACACCAGTTTTATGGAGCAGGTTCCTGAGGCAAAGAGAAACTCAGGCCCAGATCCCACACCATTAAAGTCATTTAAGAGTTGCGCCATTGACTCCCATGCATGGAAGAATAAGCCCGGCCTGAACTTGCCCAAATTCACATGGGAAATTTTGCAGAGCCAAAATTTGGTCTCAGCTCTCCTGATTTCTAGTCCTCTGCCTGGACCATGAGACCCTTCTTCGGATGAGCATGCAACTCAGTCTAAACAAAGGTCCATACTAGGTAAAAGTACCCCATTTTGTATGTTACTATGAGCAAATCTTTCACTTTCATTATGGACCCTGGAATAATTTCTTTTTTCCTTCCCCTATGATTTTATATTTAATACTTGATTTTATATTCTGGTCATAGATGCCTTTAATCTGCTGCTAATTTTGTCTTTATTATTTTATAGAGCAGTAGGCCAGGTTCTCAACCTTTTTCTTTCTGATGCCCCACCCAACATGGTATAAAAATCTATGACCCGCCTGTGCCACAACAACTGGTTTTCTGCATATAAAAGCCACGACTAGTGCTAGGAGGTAGCAAGCAGGACAACTGCCCAGGGGCCCATGCCACAGGGAGCCCCTGAAACTAAGTTGCTCAGACTTCAGATTCAGCCCCACATGGGGGACCATTGCCTTTCCATGTTGGGTCTTGCAAGTTTAATGCCAGCCCTGTTGGCCCCGGAGCCTTGGTTGAGAACCACCATGTTAGGTGATAGTTTTCCCTTTTTTATTTCTTTGTGTCCATATGTTGCCATCCTTAATTACATCAGCACTCCTCTAGGAACAGAGGAGGAGTTGTTCAAGGCTCAAAGGAAAATTAGCCATCCAACTCTCATTGAAAGTCAGTGGGAGTCGAATGCCCATTTGTGCCTTTGGCAACGTCCCCAACTAACTTTTGTTAGTTAATGTATGTTCCTTCTATTGGCAGCAGCTAGCAAGATTTTTCATAAATATTATTAAAAATGGAGATGGAAGATTAAAACCTTTCCCCAGTTACCTGGCACCTAGAAAATAATTTCCAAAAAATGGGAACATTTTTAAAGTAGTTCACTACTTAGTCCTAAACCACTTGACCCCAATTCTTAAAATTCATTAAAATGTCATGTATCAAAGGATGCTGAAACCTATAGAAAATTTAATTAAAGTTTGTTTGCTGAAATGATCAGATTCTTACCTCCGGGGAATAGTTTTCTACATTGTATGGTTTTCTAAACCTGGTGTCCTTAATGTAATGTGGAGTGCACCCACCAGCATAGTACCTGTGATCAAGGACCAAACCCTCCAGATTGTTCGTAAGGACATTTAACCTATATAGGCACAACAGGAAAACAATAAAGTTCATAATTTAATTAGCAGTACAATACAGAATTTGGCTAAGAAAGGTGAGATTTCCCCCCCATTTCCTTTTGTGCCTGTCTATCTTCTTGCTGCCTAGGCCTTCTGCCATCAGAATGTTTCCATCTTCTATCATCCATCCTAAGTGGTCTAGGAGAATCTTCCCCTCCAACGAACAAATGAAAGAGGGAGTTGTGTTTTGAAATGTTGCTGAAGATAATATCAACCACAGAAGAATTACAGTAGGTCTGCTGGGACTGATATGGCATTATCTCATCAATGTTAGCAATGTTTGTATATTGTACCAGTAAAAGTTCATGGAATTGAAATGGAGATGTAAAGCATAGATTTGGAGTTGCTCTTTCAGGAATGGCAGAAGGGGTGGGAACTCTTACTACATTTAAAAAGCAGAACTGCAGCAAACCCTAATTGAGTAGTCGATGGAAATTCCATTGACTATTCAATTAGCTCACTAACAGCTATTTAACATTCCTAGCCATTGGATCAGATCTTACATCCATCTGTAAACAGCAAAAATGCAATCTGGAAATTTATATGTAGAGAGATGGGCTTTTTGGGGAGGGGGGAATAATGGGACCAAAAGTTCTCCGTTATTCACCACCACCACTGAAGGGCGAATCCCAGTGGAATACCATCTACATAGTGCACAGTCTTGGGATACTGCACTAATCTGAATGAGATCATCTTCACATAGCTGTGAGCATTAATGGAGGAAAAATCACAAAAGAAAAAATACCGATAACAGCCATTTCCCCAGAACCTGTTACATTGTGCTCCTAGTTTTGTAAGACCTCCCTTTCCTTCATGTAGAGTCAAAGAACTGCATTTAAATGTATCTGAATTTTTTAAAATTAGCTTCAATCTGAGAACAAAGTAAGGGAGGTGTGCTAAAATCAGACTACTGTAGCTTCAAAGAGATGAGAGGCATGTTTCTGTAAGTGCTTAAATTATTTTTTAATTTGTACTAAGGTTAACAGTATGAAACATCAGTAATAACATGCCCAGCAGTCACACCTTCAGAGAGCTGCAAGGAAATGATCATTTTCTCTTGGATGTGATTTTTACCATAAGAAGCAAGATTTTTGGTGGGTGCATGTGAAGAATGCGACGAGGGGAGTATTTTCCCACAATAAGACTCTATAGACAGAATCATCAACTCAGATTAGGTTCTGGATTTCAAACACCCCAAAATTCAGGGTTGTTTAGGTCTGGGCTGAAATTTTGCCCTCTCTGAAGAGGACGGCAAAACTTCCATTTGGCCAACATCACCCCAGCTGCTCTGCTCTGTCGCTTCCCCAAGTCCACCACTTGTCAGTTTCAGCAGCGGCAGCAGTGGATTTGGGGAAGCGGCGGAGCAGAACAGCTGGGGTGATGTCGGGTTTGTCCCGCAGTGCTGCCCCTCACCCCCCTGCTCGGCGATAACTACTGCAATCTGGGGGGTGGGGAGCCAGCTCCCCTCCCGGAAACTCTCGGCGGCGGCGCAGGGCTGAGCACAGCCGGAAAAGGGCAAGTTCGGGGTTCGAGTTGGTGCTGGACTATTGGGAGTGCCGGACCACTGGATGCCGGACAATTGGAGTTTTACTGTAATTAGAATGCAGTGCTTTAATATTAAGTATGAATGTGCTCAGTTTAATCAAACAAGCTGGTGTGTACACTGTCTCTCTGGATATAGCAAAGATGATCATCTCCGTGAGTATCAGTGATGGACTAGATACTTTAGAAGAATGTTCTTCCAGGAACTTGGGTGCACCAAGAGTTATGTGCAATGTAAAGTATATAGGTCTGACAGAGTCCTGAAAATATTGTCTGGGGTGATTAACAGTCTGAGAGGGAGCTCTTACTCAGTTTAGCTCCAACAAGATGCTCTTTTGCTAAAGCTGAAGGATAACAAGGTGTCCTGGGAAAGTGTCAGATAGAAAGGCAGCAGCGTGCGGTTGGAGGGGGCTCCCTGGAAGTGGGGCCAGGAGTGCACTGGCTGCCAGCTCCGCCTCTGGGGACTATTGAATAGTAATGTAATTACTAAAAATTAATGCAGTTACACAGCTATTCAATCACACGCTATCTAACGCCCTAGCCAGAGTTTAAATAGGCCTCATCCCAGTCTCCTGGAGGCCAGGCAACATTTTTCATACATACAGAGTTGTAATCAGCTGATATTCCGATTTCGATTACTACCATTTACACCTTTGGAGTAACCCCTTTGACGTCAATCCGTACAACACAATGATCCGTGATTTTTCATGTGGTTCAAATAACAATCATCTGTCCATTTGTAATTCACTACCAACCCACTTTGCTTTGGTGAAACTGGCATATTTCCTGAAGAAAATAATTGAACACGTTTTCTTACAAGTCAGTTCCCCTGCCATGCCTACTGGCAGGCTAACTACCAGTGCCATATGGTATGCAGTATTACAACCATACGCTCACACACAGTTTTGTGTGTGTGTGTATGTGATTGTTATTCACCAAAGTTCTGATGAAAACCCCTTTGGTTCAATATGAATTTTTCCAGTGGCCTTTGTATTATGACCCAAGCCCTGCCAATTGTCACAACATTTAGAGTTCATTTTTAGCAAGTCTGAGACCACATCAAGATAGTCTCCTGATCTGCAAGGCAAGTGGAGGGAACTTTAACCATTTCAGGTTCCAATGTGTCTCCATTCTGAAGAAATTATTTAATTAAACATCCTATGTTAGTTTATGCAAAGGACACCTACTTACCCTCTTGCCAGATTCTCTATTCCCCAGTATTGCTCCATCTGCTGGCTGCATTTTTTATATACTTTTTTACAGTTTTTTTCATCTGACTGATCCCCACAGTCATCGTCTCCATTGCAAAGCAACCTCCGTGTAATGCATCTTCCTAAGATGCAACATTGAAATTGCTTAAATAAAAAATCCATTAGCATTTTTATGAAGAACTACAAAGCCACAGTCCTCACCCCATAAAGCTTATAAACTAAAGTGATGACAACATGTCGATCAGGGCTAGTTGGAAAACATTTCCTTCCTTCCCTGGGAAAATTTCTACTTTTCATTAAAAAAAAAAAAAGTCTGAAAACTGCCCCAAATTGTAAAATTGATAAAAACTGGGGAGAAAAGTTTGTTTGATTAAGCAACAGAAAAATCAAATTCTTGATTAGGGAAGAAATTTTCTGTAAAAATTTTTGTTTAGTCAAAAACACAATTTTCTTGTGGGAAAAAAAAACAACCTTTCCTTGGATTTTTTTCACCAGACCTAATAATAAAATAATTGCATTTATTTTTATGTACATGATCGACTACAAGAACAAATAACTTGAAATTCAATGAACAAACTTGGGACATTTTCAATGACAGGATTAATTACTGTGAGCATACTGGTAAAAACTTTAAAACACGTTCTTAAGAAGAAAAAGAATAGACATGAAGGCTGTATGTCTATCATGTCTTTTATGATTAGAATAGCTCTCCAGTGAGTTCTAAAGAAGTCTGTGAATCAAGAAGTGACAGAACAATTTTGTTTTCTCATGCTGTGTTGTCAATCCATAATAAGATCCTTACAACTGAGATGTTAATGAATTTATGAAAATAATATCTCGCTCTTATACAGTGCTTTTCATCAATAGACTTTTAAACATTTCACAATCTATGAGATTATTTATTCTCACAACAGCCTTGTGATCTAGGGAAGTGCAATTATTCTCACATTCTGAAAGGGGAATTGTGTCTCAGAGAGGGTAAATATTTTGTTTGGCCAAATTTTAAAAAAAATCAGTTTTTCATCTAACCAAGAACAAACAAATAAATGTCATTTCAGTTATTCACCCAGACCTTGGTATGTTGTTTTCCTTAATCTCTTTAGAAGGCTCAGTCATGGCAGATCTCAAAGTGTGGTTGGGAGCCCCAAATGGGTTGAGACTCTGAAGCTCAAAGGCTTCATCCCTGGGTGACAGGGCTCAAGTTACAGACTCTACCCTCTCCTCCACCTGGGACTGAAGTCCTTGACCTCAGGGGTGGTCCAAGGTGGGCTGAACCAGCTTGAATGCGCGATCGGCGCCCCCGCCTGCACAGCCCTCAATGGCATGACATCATCATTGGGCGCACTGGGTGCCATGTTGAAGGAAGCGCCCTAGGCGACAGCTGAGTCGGCCTATAATCACGGGCCGCCCCTGCTTCACCTTCCACTTTGCCCCCCTCCTGCTCAAGGTGGAAGGACTTGGGCTTTGTCTAGGCAGCAGAGCTCAGGTTTCGGTCCCCTGTCCTGGGTTTCATAGTAATTTTTGGTGCCAGAAGGGGATCACAGTGCAATGGCATATGTGAACCTTGCTCTATCAGTTCCTCTGCTGTGACTGTGAAAAGAGAACTAACTGTTGAACGCTACAGAACAGCTATTCCTATGGGGTTATTACTACTACAGCAACACACCCATATGAAGCTTTTCCCTGATAACCTCGGGCATATGCCGACACCCTGGGTGTGTCTAGACTACTTGTTTTTTTTTTTTTTAAAGTGGCCTTTTTCAAAAAAACCAGTCTAGACTGCCACCGTGTTCTTTCAATATTAAATCAAAAGAACGCAATGGTATTTTTGACTGTGATAAACCTCATTATATGAGGAAGATCGCCTTTTTTTGAAAGCGCTCTTTCAAAAAAAGGCATTCTTGAATGCAAACGGCTTTTTCAAAAGAGAGCATCCAGACTGCCTGGGTGCTCTCTTTCGAAAAAGTGGCTCGTTTTTTCAAAAGAAGTGGTTGCAGTCTAGATGCTTTCTTTCGAAAGAGGCTTGTTAGTCGAGACATAGCCCATGGACACATATTTTGCCACTGCTCTCTGACATTTTGAACCTGTTTTATCGCAGCTCTTATTGTTAAGACTTTTAAATATTGTATTTATTATTTATTGTATTAATCCATATGGATTAAAAGTAATTAATTAATGTTAATATATGAGATTTTTAAAAAGGGGCCCAATGACTGGACCATGGCCTACATTAAAATCATAGTATCAGAGAGTAACCGAGTTAGTCAGGATCTGCAAAAGCAACAAGGAGTCCTGTGGCACCTTATAGACTAACAGACGTATTGGAGCATCAGCTTTTGTGGGCAAAGACCCACTTCGTCACATGAATCTGACGAAGTGGGTCTTTGCCCATGAAAGCTTATGTTCCAATACGTCTTAGTCTATAAGGTGCCACAGGACTCCTTGTCGCTTTTATGAAAATCATAGTCACTTGCAAATGTGATGTAAGTGCTGATGCGCTTTGGGCCTGGTCTTGACAGACCTTTACTAAGGCAGCCCCCAGCTCGAAGGA